AGTGGACGGCGTTAAGGTTTGATTTCTCAGTTTCTTTCTCCGTTTGCCCCGAGCAGGTTTAGTCTCGTGCGAAATTTTCTCCATCCCCAGAATACGCGGCAGTCTGAGCACCCACGCTCAGGAAAAGTAGGATAGCTTGGGCGCGGATGTTGAGCGAGGGAATCTCCGTCATCGGGTGAGGTACCCTCCTGGGGTAGTGTTTTATTTATCTCCGCTACCATGACGTACTTAACGATGCATTTAACAGTATACACTAGCACACTATTGAATTGAATTGATTGAATGCAGTTTACTTTGACTAATCAGGTAAAATATTCCATAAATGTGTGACAAAATTACAGACACGTCTGCTCCGAGCAGCTGTCACAGTGTTTATTTTAAATCTGTTACTGTTTTTTTTTCAAAGTAAAGTTCTTCTAAACCACCTCTGATCGGAAAAAAAAATGGAAAAAACACAACAATTTAGCTTACGATAAAAGATTTATCTTTTAAAAAAAGCAATATACCCATACTAGATAATCTTTCCTGATGACAAAGTATTTATATATTAATCATAAATTTTCATATCTTCGTTTTGTAACTTGTCAAAAGCCTCAAGCAGCGAGATCCTGTCACCATTTACCAAGATGTCTCCCACCATCGTCTTGCTTCCCTTACCTAATGCCGTGTTACTGGCCCCCACGAGCGAGTGCACCATGTAATACTCCAGCAAGATGTTTCCACAACCCTCCTTGTCTACCGCCAAGAAGAAGACAGGCGCCGATACCGTCGGAATATTTGTGTCCAACGGTAAGCGAATGAAAATAATACAAACTTATCATCTTAAGCTCTTAAAAATCCACTGCATGTTATGGATCCGTCCCGTAGTAAGAATGGTTTGACGTAATTTTCACGCTTAGTAGGTCGATTGTTAATTACCAGTATCAGACTTCTCACACTTTTGCCGCTGCTGCTTCCCGTTGCCGGCACAAGTGTTTTACAGATGATGTAAACGATTTGGTTATACCGCCATCTATCGGAAGCCATCTAGCTTTTGTCAGATGGCCAAAATCACCCTTTACGATTTTTACCGGACAAAATGGGGTAAAAGATTTTACTATATCTCCATCACAGGGCGCAATACTTTCAAAATTTCAATCGGGTTAAATTTTCTAAATACGGGGTTATTTTGCTGACCAAATTTGCAGAGAAGGCTTATAATATTTTTTTTTAAAAACGTTACCCCTACACTAAGATTTTCTTTTGTATCGTGGGGGCAGTTTACAAACATAAATTGCACAAGGACAAACATCCAGACCTGGAACAACTATATGTAGGCCATACAAATACTTGTTCCGTGCGGGATTCGAACCCGAGACCCCCAGCGCAGCCACTCATTGCTAAGCCACTGCGCCACGGAGTCGTCAATAAGTAATATAGGCAAATTGTAAAGAAAAACTAATTCGTAAAACTAAACGTTAAAGCATTATTTTAACTGATTTCGACATTTTGATCGGTAGCTTTGTTTTTGCCAATAAATCACATGCTATTTTGGATAGTTTCAAATAAAGAATATTTACTCGTAGTTTCAAATACTACATTAACGGTTTATCATTATTTATACTGCGTGATTTTTTTACCGTCTGCAAAAAAAATGTGTAACAGGTGAACGGAATAGAAGCCTGTGGCACTGATATTTTACAATTTTTTATTATTTTACACTAACATATTACTTAATATTACTTAGTGAAATTGATCTATCAATAAGTATTAGTAGTACTGGGTACGTGTTATTTTAATTCCGATTGTTTTTAATTAATTTATTTATTTAGTGCAAAATTTTTGTTTTTACTTTTTATAACCGAAATTTATTTCAAATTAGTGATATGTATTGGTAGTTCATATTTAATTACATTCACCTGTTACGCCCTATTTTTTCCAGGTATTAAAAAGTCATCCAGTATATTTAAGCTTAAGTTTAAAATTAATCTAGTATTTTAAAAAAAACTTTATAGTAGGGCACATTTTCTGAATGGGAGTCAGTTTGTTTTGAATTTAATTTATTTTCCTGCCAAGCAGCAATACGTTAAGAGGGTAAGTTACTTATTTATAAGTTCCGGCGGCGTAAAGCGTAAGAGGTTTTTTTAAAGAATAATTGTGACAAACGAACACACAGTCCACCTGATGGTAGGTGGATGCTGTGGCCCATAGACAGCTACATTTATCTTCAAAATGCGGATGCGTTGCCAGCCCTGAAGACTGAGATGGGATGCCTTGTTTAAAAAGGGTCTCCGGTTCCTTATACTCACCAAACGAAACACAGGAGTATTAAGCTGCTATTTTACGCTGGTATTCAGTGAGAGCGTGATCCTTTCCGATGGAGGCAACCCATTCATGCTACAACCATAATATAGCCGTAGCGTGGCTCTACCACTTTACAAAGATTGCATAATAATAGGTTGGGAGGCATTTCATCTTATTCCTTTAGGGTGACAACCTATATATTCAAAGATGAATCCCAGTGCTTTGTTTTATGGTGTACATGGGCTCAGATGAATGTAAGCCAGTTTGTCACCACTATAATATATAATAATTATAATTTCAAAAATCGCAAGTACCTGTCAGTGTGTAGCTCACATGTCTGATAGCCTTCATGGAACAGGATATAGTCTGTAGGTAATGTTTTATAAAAGAAGCATAATATGGAATATATAGAATTGAAAATTTGCTATTAAATATATATATGTACGAAATTTACATAATATACATAAATATTTACAGGAAACAACGTAAGTGTTCAAAATCATGATGTTTTATGACTTAATAATATACTTAGCAATATTGATGCAATATCATTATTACTTTATTATCAAGAAATATTTTAACAGCTAGATACTTAAATTTAGCGCGACTGTAAGAGAAAACTAACAAATATCATCATCTTTTAAGTTATTCTTACAACTTATTAAAATGAAAATCTTTATTTACTTACAGGGGAAAAAAATGTATAGACGCAACTAAAAAGACCAATTGTCCAAATCCTTCATGTCCTGGGGTAAATATTACATTAATAACTTTTATTTTTTTTTCTTTATTAAAAATTAATAACTTAAAATTTTAATTTCAGAATAATCCAACAATGAAGAAAGAGATCGAGAATCGGTTCGGCAATAAAAAATAATTGGATGAAAATAATGACTAAACCAAAAGATTGCCAACAGTTCTGTCCTTGTACAGAGGTAAAAATAACATTTTGTTAAACAAAGTATCAAAAATTCCTTTGCAGGTAGGCCTCTCCATTTTCAAGGAAGTTTGCCATAAAAACTATGCAGCAATGGCAGGAGGGTAAGTGATCGCAGTGTTTTGTTTTATCACAGGTTATGTTTTTGGTCATAAGTTAATTAATTCATATTATTAGCATAAATTATTATTAACTTTATTTCCGCGTTTTCGTAGGATTCCACGAGTCTATGTTCCGAAATGGTCGATAGCGAAAACAACATGAAGAAGCAAGTGAGTATGTTTCCTGTTTCCTTTTTTTTAAATTACATTTTCATTGAGTATCATGAAGTAACTAAAATGTATTTTATAATATTAGAAAAAGAAACACTGTACCAAATGCGAGTGCTCTTCGCCGGGCTGTTCTAGCTGCTTTGTTGCAATGCCTAAGGTACATAAAGATTGTCGTCGTTTTTAGATCTTTATAATATTGATTAATGATTAAAATAATATTTGAAGCATCTGTTAGTGATCGTGTAATTTTTGATTTTTTTTTTATAGGATAGGGTGAAAAACGAGCACACAGTCCACCTGATGGTAAGTGGTTGCTTGGCCCATAGGCATCTACATCTATCCTCGATTACGAATCAAAATGCAGATGCGTTGTCACCCGTGAGGACTAAGATGGAATGCCTCGTTTCCAGTAAAAAGGGTCTCCGGTTCTCTACACTCACCATACGAAATACAGCAGCATTAAACTACTATTTCACGCTGGTATTCTGTGAGAGCGTGGTCCTTCCCCGGTCGAGCCGACCCATTCGTGCTACAACTATACTACTAATATAACTGCAGCATGGCTCTACCACGTAAAATTTGATGATTGAAATCGTATTAGCTCAGCAAATGTATTTGTTATGTCGGGACGACGGCTCATAGCCATGAGAATCTGATAGGTAACACTATTATAGTCAGATATTAATAAATTCTATATTTATTGACTAAAATTACTCATGGTCAGAATATCATATATTGGTTTAGTGCCAAACGGGAAATCACAAAATTGGTACTCAATAGGTTCAGATTTTGTAATTTTCTGTAAATTCCCGGAGTGAATTCGCAATAAAATTCATCGCTTCACCTACCGACAAGAACAGAAGATATATTAACGGATTTTTGTGCATTTTTATGTGTATTTTTTTAAAGGGACTATCATCATAAGGACTTATATGGACGCGAGTATCTAAAATATCTCTTTCTTATACGTTTGGAAATCATGGATACTTCTCAATCGCACTCCTACCATCGGTCCATGCTGTTCGTCTCTTCGCACTTACTTCTTTAGAATACCTTGATTCCATCTTCTTAAAATTCTAACGTTCAATGTGTATGTATATGGTAGTAACCTATACTTTTTTGTACTATCTTATAAGAAAGTCTTATTATAATAATAAAGAATACATAACTGAGAATAACCCCAGGAAATTATTTAATCATTAAAGCTTTTCACAAGACCACTGCTGAACAGCCGCCATATGTTGTAATATATATTGAATAAAAGTTATTTTATTCTATTTTACAGATTACGCTACCTCTGACTGAACCAGAAGAAATATTGTCTAAAGAAATATCTTCTAAGAAATAGAATATAAAACTCTAATATGGCATATTTTTAATCTGTATTTATTGTTATTTTTGGAGGTTATATATATAAAATTGTCCAAAATTTTGATGAATCATAAATAAAACTTTAAACTGTGTATATGTTATTTCATTTATTCAACAAATAATGTATTTCCAGTAATTTACCAATCACTAGACACCACGTACCTTTGCTTACAAGGCTTGTGAGGTGTCATGTCGTGACCGAGCTGGTCTATAACGGTACACGGATTAGTGCCCTGAGCAATATGACAGTAATCGCTACAATACATGAATGGAGCGATATTCGTCTGGTATGGGTTTGGAGGAAACGGTGCCAGATAGAAGTTTTCGCCATGATCCCAAGATGCGAGAGATGATATTGCGAATGGTACCTTGTATTGTCTTTTAGTTTCTGATTCGAAAACTCTGTGATTAACGAAAAATAATTTATTAAATACAAATACATAAACGGGCTATGATCATCCCTTTTCCAAAGGACACAGTTCACTTTATGGTAAGTGGATGTCGTGGCCCACAGACACATCATCATATATAATTAATTAGGAATCAAAATCTAATTTTTCATTGTCACACCATTGTCCCTGAGGAATACTATGGTATGGCCTTGTTACGAGTAAAAACAACCATACAAAATACATCTGCACTATGGTGCTATTTCACGCCGATATTCTGTGCGAGCTTGGTCCTTCTCCGTTCGAACGGATCCACTTGTACTGCAACCAAAATATGCTGCAGTGTGGCTCTAACACGTAAAATCTACTACTAGACCTCCTCAAATTGTTTCTAAAGGAAAGTTGGCGACTAATTTGTATGTTAGAAAATAAGTGATTTATATCTTATATCTTTCTATAGCTTATTTAGAGAAATAAAAGGAATATCTTGTAACCGATAGGTGGCGCTAGTTATTATGTTTATATCAGATGTGAAATAATTAGATCGGTGAAAGGAAGCAGCAGCAGAGGTAAGTTTAACACTACGATCACCAATCAGCAGGTCAAGTGCGGTCGAGCAGATCTTTTTTAAGCAAAAGTATATTTCTTCTTCTGTATTTAGCCGTAACTTGGTCACCCATGGTGAACAAAGATTTCATTTGACTAGCTGACCCTAGTCGAGGGCCCACCCGAGATAGCCGCTCCGAGTGAACCGGCCGAGCCCGCTCCGGATGCGTGATGGTGGACTGTGGTGGAAAGGATATTATCTCCCTATCCGGTTCGCTGCAGCTGAGATGGGGTCGCGAAAGAGCGGAGTCAGTATTGCGAAGTACCGCTCTTCTTACCCTCCGCGGCCAAAATCTGGTTGGCGGTGGAATTGTAGATTAGAGGATGGTGCACCTTGTATAGGTAGGAGGAGTTGTCCTCTCATAAAGACAGGTTGTGTGCAAAAGCGTTCTCATGGTCCTGCCAATATGTGGCGAGGGTGTAATATCATGTGATTTTAGTCAGAACGAGTTTGACATAACCCGTTCTTACCCCCACAAGGAGGTTATGCGTAGACATTTTTCTATGAAAATAGCAAAAAGCAGGCTGGTGAACGTAGTATCGATTCGAAATTGGTATTGATAATGCTTCTTCCCATGACCAGTCAGTGAAATTTGATGATTCTTTAGGGTAAATAAACGTATAACCCAAATTAGTCACATATTTATCTCTAAAACTTTAGTTTTTATTTCAGCTTTAAAGCTGTTTGGAAACTGAATATAATTGTCACATATTTCTATTAATTTAATAACTAAACAACTCACCCTTTTAAATTATTTACTGGATTGTGACAAGACGCAACCGCTTTATACTCTTTCTTAAAATGAATTCTATCATACACGTTCCTGTGAACTTTGGCAGTTAGTGGCATCCATATTTTTTTATACTTTGGACCAAATCCACGAACCTATAATTGTGAGTTAGCTCAATCCAAACACAGACGAGTGGTGTCGGCCTAAGATAATTACACCTTATTTCAACATCTGATTAATGTAGCTAACCAATTTATTAAAAACGTCAACAACCTTCTTTCTTCGTCATCATTACACTCACAAAGGTCAGCTTTTGAGGTTTCCTAAAGATCTTTAATCACGTGCTCTTTCACCCCGCTGCATTTATAAACAGATCGTCACTCCATCCAGTGAAAGGTCGATACTGCATAGAAAAGGGCAACAATAATAGATGGAGTGACGACTTCATAAAACAAGCAGGTAGTCGAAGGATGCAAGTTTTTTAGGACCTTACTTTGTGCCTATCTATCGCCGATGTTCAGCAGTGATTTAATGAGCTGTAGTGATAGTGATATAGTAAAATAAAGTTACGAAGTCTAACTTCTCTCAAAAAATTAAACAGCCGACTGAGTACTATGATTCTTAGTCGTCATATATGATACATATTGATTACCATGTTTAGTGTTAAGGGCCTATACTACCTTAAATGGCTTAGCAAGATTCTTCGTTATGCCGAAAATATTGCAGCATTAACTTTGAAGTAAATATATGGTAAAGATGACGATTAATTTTAAGTTCTATTTTAGACGAAAACACAATTCCGTAAAATTTTCTCGATAGAAAAAAAATCCAAAGTTGCCTCCAAACCGAACAATAAACCGCTGATATTCACAAAATATTTTAAATTAGATCACGAAACTTTGCATACTAACTGAACTAACTATAAAGCAGGGCTTATGTTATTTTTAATTGCCATTATTTTCACTGTAAAAACAAATAACCTAAACCATTGGCATCTTGAAGCTTGTTCCCTGCCGCCCGATACTCCCGCTCAGTCCCGCTTCGACTTTCGAATTGATGTAAAGAAACAGGCATAAATATGATAAACCTAATTAAATAAGTATCTAACGACCATCTGCTTACAGTATTAGTGATTACAAACATGTCGGTAGATAGCATACGGCACGCGGGGAAGTGGGGGCGAAATTACAATTTGAGCTGAGGTAGTATAGGCCCTTAAGATTGCCTGAAATCGCTTCACATAACCACGCTCTCACAGAATAGCGGCGTGGAAATAGCAGCATAACACATAGCTGTGTTTTTTATGGTAAGTGTAGAGATCCAGAGACCATTTGTACTTGATGCGAGGAATTTCATCTTAGTCCTCAATGATGCCAATGCATTTGCATTGATTCTTGATTCTTGATTGAAAATAGATGTCCATTCACTACAGAATCCACTTACCATCAGGTGGACTGTGTGCTCGTTACTTACTCTATTAAACATTACTCCTAACAGCCGTGGATTGTAATAGGCTGATGACAAAGGCAGTAACTAAAAAAATAACTACAAAACACCTATATAGATACTATTTTTATGAAAATGTGCTATTTTACTTTCGGTATATTAGACTCCGTGTAGAAAGTTATGTGATCTTTGGCACCTATCCCGTACTGTTCATCCGTAGTAAAAGGTTTCTGGAATGCGCGATAAGTAGATACGTAAGGATCGAGCAGTCGATTGAATCCACTAGCATTTTCGGGTATGACGGGAGCTTCGTTTCTGCCAGCTGCCACTACCTAAAACACCAAACACTTTTTTAGGATTTCATTTTGCTAATATGCGTAGTGTTTTGTTGTTTTGTGTCTTGTATGGTGTCGTAAGAGGCAATAATGTAAATTGTCAGAAACATCTCGTAGGTGTCATAAGAAGAGATTACGAAACTTGCAAGAAAAATCTCACAGTATTCAATAGATTACTCGTATATCAATACTGTCTTATAATGTATACTTAAACGACGAGTAAATTCAATCAAGTCAACAGTCAAATGTAGCGAAAGTTCTTTTGTTATGAGAAAAGTACATATCCAGTAGTGAAATAATGCGGTCCTATATAGTAGAAGTGTGCTAAAAAATAAAATAGTTTATAATAATATACAGTCATTGATTCATGAAAATAAATAAAATAAGATTAATAAATTTAATTAAAAAGATGGCCCAATAACAGATTAATGTATCTATTTTAACAAACCATGTTATAATATTTTAGGAGCTGACTCCATATGGGTGCCTATTGGTGACCATAATGAAAGATGAAATCTTTTACTAATATATTTATTATAGCGGAACGTGCCATACAGTTGGCGGGCAACTAGTGACTGGTTGAAAAATCTTATTCACTACATAATATAGTTACAATACAACATTGCGAAGTTTACATGTGTGTGCGCAGCACACCTACAATACTTCCCCCTTTACAAAAAAATGAATACAAAAAACTTAAAACTATACAATGAATATAAACTTAAAACTAACAACAAAAACTTGCTAATGCGCTTGTGCGCAGGGCTGTACGGAGACCCCCGCGAAAGGGGTGGCGGCCGCGGCGGGCGCGGGCACATGCTGCAGACTGGTGCTAGAAGCACCTATCATGTGACCCATATTCTGGCCCGATATCGGAACGCCTGTCATTAACACCTGATGACGAAGCCAGCTTTTGAACTTCTTATTAAACTTTACCCAAATAGTGTACAGGATTATCGCCCCCATAAAACTGGCTATCACATATAACCATGTTTGAAAATTATCCACTTTATTCTCTACAGTATTTTGAGCCTGAGAAACAATAACTGGTTTTTCTTGAAAATTACCCATAGTAAAAATCGTAAAACTTATCGCGCTAATGCTATCGCAAAGGAAGTATTTCGAATGAAATTATATTAAATACATTATAACTAAACTAGCTACCTGGAACCTATATGAAAGTGCAGTATACGCAAAATACTGAACACGATACCTCTACAATTACATTCAACTTAAATAATGTAACTTGAATATCCTGAATGAAAATATTATGCACTTGACAATGCAAATAATACTTTCACATCCATAGTAACTAAACCTGATTATCATTTAGACATGTAATTGTATAATATATAATATATAATATATTTTATATTAACACTAGCTTATAAATCGTGAAGGTAACTTAACAATCCGACCACTTCGCGTTGTTTTCACGGTTATCGGGTTGCTCGGGCCGGGTAACAACGACGTCAGCGGTGTGGACGGTGGTAACGGAAACCGTACATGCGCAGGTGCCACATCCGCTGCGTTGTCAGCGTTACTTTGGCGTGGCGTTGCTTCGTTACCATCACATTCCTTTAATACATATGCAGGCTTTAATCTGTCGATAGAAATATGTACCTGTCTATCGGGTAATTGAATTAGGCAAACTTTTGAGCCCCTTTTTATCACGCGGTATGGACCGTCGTAGGGTGGTTTCAAAGGTTTACGTATTGAATCGTCCCTAACAAAGACATATTCACAGTTACGTAAGTCCTTGTGCACAAAAAAACTATGACAGTTACGTGAATCGTCGGATGTAAGCTTATAACTACGAATAGTATCTCTAATCTTATCCACTAAACAATAATCATTGACGTTACGGTTGTTCGAAGAGCCGTCATAAAAGTCTCCCGGTAGACGTAAGTTTCGTCCGAACGTTAACTCGGCGGCGCTAACCCCTGAGTCACTGCGGGCGGCCGCGCGAAGCCCAAGTAATACTGTGGGTAGCTCCTCCACCCAGGACCCATGTGACAGGCGAGCTGAAAGTGCTGTTTTTAAAGAACGATGCCAACGTTCAACTGCGCCATTGCTTTGCGGATGATAAGGAGTAGTTCGAATTCTATTAACCCCCAACATTTTTAACAGCTGGTTAAAAAGACTACTCTCAAACTGGCGACCTTGGTCGCTAGTTAACTTTATCGGGCAACCGTAACGACAAATCCAACCTTCATATAAATGTTTGGCAACAGTTTCTGCCGTAATGTCTCGTAACGGAAAAGCTTCAGGCCACCTGGTCCTCCTATCAATTATCGTGAGTAAGTATCTATAACCATCTGGTGAGATCTCAAGAGGGCCAACGATATCGACGTGCACATGCTCAAAACGCTCTACTTCCGGAAACTTAGTCAGATTCGATACCGTATGTCTGTTAACTTTAGAACGTTGACATTGTATGCACGTTTTTGCCCACAAAGAAACATCACGATTCATACTAGGCCAGAAATACTTTTTGGCTAACATCTTTCGCGTAGAACGAATTCCAGGATGGCTCAAATTATGTAAACTATCAAAAGCTAGGCGTCGAAACTTTTCCGGTAGGTACGGACGAGCTGTATCAGTAGACATCTCACAAAAAATAGACTTATTTAACATAGGTATAACTAGTTCCTTTAACAAAATATTATCGGTATTTAAACCAGACATAACATTCATGATATAACTGTCGCTACGCTGCTCATTTGCAATGTCATCGAAATTCAACGCAGTTGGCATAGTCACGGCTTCGATGCGCGATAAGGTGTCAGCTACGATGTTATTCGTACCGGTTATATGTCTTATATTTGTAGTGAACTCACTTATGAAAGCTAAATGTCTCGTTCTCCGAGGCGTTTCGCTTTCATCGCGTCCTACCTTTTGAAATGCAAAAGTTAAAGGTTTATGGTCCGTATACACGGTTATTTCTTGCCCTTCAAATAATTTCCGAAAATGTTTTATAGCTAAGTATATAGCGAGCAACTCGCGATCGTATGTGCTATATCGCTGTTGGGTGGTGGTCAATTTTTTTGAGAAATAGCCCAATGGTTTCCAGCTATCTCCTTCCTTTTGTTGCAAGACTGCTCCCACGCATGTATTAGATGCATCAGTCATTAAAGCGAGTGCGGAACCCACTCTAGGGTACGTCAATGTAGCGGCCTGTGTGAGACCTGCCTTACATTGCGTAAATGCTTCGTTCGCACTATCCGTCCAGACGATGGGAGTCTTATCATTTTTCTTTGAGCTTTTAAGATATTTATTTAATTCTGTTAGATATAAAGTTGCGTTGGGAAGATGAGCTCGATAAAAATTGACCATACCGAGAAAACGTCTTAGTTCTGCAACAGTTTTCGGCTTCGAAAATTCCACAATTGCCTGAACCTTATCTTGCAACGGCCTGACGCCGTCGGTACTAATCTCGTGTCCTAAAAATTCTAGTTTAGTTTGTCCGAAACGACATTTTGCCAAATTAATTGAAATTCCATATTTATTAAGCCTTTTAAAAATAATTTCTAAATGTTGCCTGTGTTGAACTTCGTTGTCACTAGCTATAAGTAAGTCGTCTAAATAACAAAAAACAAAATCAAGACCTTGTAAAATGGAGTTCATAAAGCGCTGGAAGGTTTGTGCTGCTCCGCGCAAACCGAAGGTCATTCGAGGAAACTCGAAAAGTCCGAATGGTGTTATGATAGCGGTTTTCTCCACGTCACCTGGTGCGACAGGTATAAAATGATAACTTCTATTGATGTCTAATTTTGAAAATATCTTTTTATCCGGAAGAATAAAAGTAAAATCGTTCAAGCGAGGAATCGGGTATCTGTCGGGCTTTGTTATCGCATTCAGCTGGCGATAGTCCCCACAAGGTCTTATATCTCCATTCTTTTTAGGAACTACATGGAGCGGACTAGCCCACGCGCTCTTTGAAGGACGACAGATGCCCAGTTCTTGCATGATGCGAAATTCTTCTTTAACTTTTTTATACCTGTCAGGTGGCAACGGGCGCGCTTTCGCGTGCACGGGCGGGCCAGAGGTCTCGATATAGTGGACGACATCGTGTTTCGCAGTTTCTCGGAATGACGCTGGTTTAGTGATGTCCGGATACTTTAACAATAAATCCTGATATGGATGATTTACATCAATAGTTTTAACACTAGGTTGAGATACATTGACAACAGATGCCGAAACATTCAATTCTGTAGTTTTATCTATTAATTTACGCGCGTTTAAATCAACTAATAGTTTGTGGTACGCTAAAAAATCGGCGCCCAAAATTGGTTGTTTGACATCTGCTACAACGAATTCCCAACGATAAGGTCGGCGTAAGTTTAAGTTTAACACTATTGTCTTGGTACCGTAAGTTGCGATTTCATTGCCGTTAGCTGCGTATAATTTATATTCACTACACTGATTTAGACGATCTTTTCTCACGGCTGGTAAAACAGACACATTGGCACCGGTGTCAACTAAAAATCTAAGTCCGGAGTTACTGTCTGACACACACAAACGATTGAATGGAAAAACGGTACAGACCTGAAAACCCTCGGACTGTACCTCGCTGCTCAGTTTTCCGGCTGTGTTGTTTTCCACGCGCAAGGCTTCGTACACCTGTTGGCCTTTTCTCGGAACCTGTAATGGTAAAAGCATAAGTAGTTCTCCTTCCGGGGACGGCAGGGACTGCTACGGCGCCTGGACTGTGAACGACGCCGGTTGCGATCAGGGGCGCGGGACCGCGACCTCTGCTGATCGATCCGGTCCACGGTAGCCTTTATTTTAGCCACCTCAGCTCTCAACAGGGCCAAGTCATAGGCGGTAGTAGATGCTGGCGCTGGCACGGTGTAAGTAGCGGTGGCGGCATAGGAAGGCCGCACAGCCTCCATGACGTTATCTGCAACTGCTGCTAGGTTGTCCAGGTCCTTGGAGTCGGACACAGTTAGCACGGCTCGGACTTGTGTCGGAAGACGACCCTGCCACAAGACGCGAAGGGTTTCATCAGGAACCTTGTCAGTAGCGAGCTCACGCATCCGCCGAAGCAGCTGAGATGGTTTCTGGTCGCCCAGCTCTAGCTCGCTCATAAGCTTCTCGATCTGCCTCGACATTGACTCCTCATAGATGTGGAGTAGCCGAGCTTTGAGTGCGTCGTACTTGTAGGTAGGAGGCGGGTTGAGTAATATGTCCGTCACTTGCGCGATAACCTCCTTACTTAGCTTAGACACGACCAGGTCAAACTTCGCCTCATCACTCAACCTCTGAGGTGCGAGGATAGCTTCCGTGCGTACGAACCATACGCGTGGCTGGTCCGTCCAAAAGTCTGCGAGGCGAGACTGTAGGGACACTGCATCTACACCTGGCGCCATAATGGGCGGTTGCGCAGGTGGCTGGATGTCTTGAACGGGTGGCACGTTAACAGGCGGCACGTTCTGTGACGTAGGCGGAAACGGCGCACTCATGTTACTATATCTATTGTCCACCGATCACAACCACGCGAATATTGCCCACTACTGCATTAACATCACATAGACCACTTCGGTCATCTTGATCACGTCGGGGTCACCAGTTTAGGAGCTGACTCCATATGGGTGCCTATTGGTGACCATAATGAAAGATGAAATCTTTTACTAATATATTTATTATAGCGGAACGTGCCATACAGTTGGCGGGCAACTAGTGACTGGTTGAAAAATCTTATTCACTACATAATATAGTTACAATACAACATTGCGAAGTTTACATGTGTGTGCGCAGCACACCTACAATATTTTTTAATAATGATAAACAATATTATGTCCGTTAATTAAACAAAAAAATTTATTTGTAATATTTATTTCTCCCGACAACAACCCCAAAATCCCGACTTTTTCAAAGTTTGTTCAGATATTTTGGTCTTCCGATCTGGCAAACCTAGTCTGAGGTGGTAAAATGCGAAACAAACAGTTTTAGTAAATCTTATAAGACTTAAACTGTAAACTTATTATAACTTAAGTTTGCCTTATTAAATACAGTCTATAGCTTTTATTTAGAAAAGCCGTTATACCCCTAATACTAACATCAAAAATGTATTCCGGATCAGGTGGCTTTACAATTATCTCCGGCGGTGATAGAGGTGACCTCGTAACGCCTTTGTACTGATCTTTCATCTCAGATACCATAATCGGCTGTATTATGTTTACACCTTGCAGCTGAAATTCATAATTAAGTAATATTACATATACATGGACTTTTTTATTGACACCATTAACCTTAATTGACAAAATTAAAAACAAATCCTCTTTTTTATTTCTTAATATCATTGGTATCTAACAAACCAGCACACGGTCTACCTGATGGTAAGTGAATGCTGTGGCCTATAGAGATCTACATTTATCCTCGATTAAGAACCAAAATTCAAAAGCGTTATCACGCCTAATGACTAATATGGAATGCCTCATGAGCAGTAAAAAGGATCTTCGGATTTCGTCACTCACTTTATGAAGCACAGAATTATCCATTATATTGCTATTCCACGCTGCGGCTTTATTACACTGCAGCATACCTCTACCAGGTAAGCTCTGATGGATTCGCGTGATGCTAAATCTCTTGATTAGTGTCAGCTATTGCAAAATCTTCTGAATACTATAGAAACATCGCTTACGACCAACGCCGTCTTAGGCCATACCGGGGCCCTTGGGCACACAAGAATTTGGGGCACGGTTGGAAAGTAAAAAAAGGCGAATGACGAAAATATTTTTCTGCTTTAATCTTATGTTTATTATTAACAACGCCACTTTACAATGAGGTAATATTTGACAGATTTCATAGTGGGGACGGCGGGTAGTTTTGTGTGTCTTTAAGTGGGTAGTTTAGATTCACAATTGGTAAATTGCGTTATCGTAGAGATCCAGAAATCACTCATGCGAAGCTAGTATTAAATAAAGATTTAAATTGGTCACGAACTACTGTCAAATTTTAAAACGATTTTGCTATAGTTCTTTCTTAAAAATCCATAAAAATAACACCAACTTTTTTTTCTACGCCAGTCATGTAAATAACTTTTTTACAATTACTGGCACAGTCCGACCGTTCCATAGCTTTATTGGGGTTAGGCTTCACACAATATTCTCCAGTTGTTGTCTTATAGGACTCTTTTTCAACCACCATGTCTCGACCAGTGACACGCTCGGGAAGCGGATCATGAATCCTCTAAAAAAAGTAAAAAAGAATATAAACATGATATATCAGTATTTTGATTACTTTCTCAAGGCGGTGAGACTCCTCTTCAGTTTGGAAGCACGTCTGGGCTGGTACCATGTCGGTTACCAAGCAGTGGTCGCCATGAAGACTAAGCACGAATCAGTAGATATAATTATTGCACTCACCTGAGTCCTCAGGGGTGAAGCCGCTTGTTTACTTTCATAATATTCACATAAAAATGACACGCGTTATACTAGTGCGCACACCAACTCCATGCATGTCCCTCAAATCAATCACGTTGTTTTTTTTTTTTTGAGCACACAGTCCACCTAATGCTAAGTGGATGATGTGGTCGATAGACATTTACATATACCCTCGATTAAGAATCAAAATTCAGATGCATTGTTACCCCTGAAGACTAAGATGGAATACCTCGTATCTAGTAAAACGGGTCTCCGGTTCTCTACACTCACCATACAAAACACAGCAGAATTGAGGTGTTATCTTACGCTGGTATTCTGTGAGAGTGTGGTCCTTCCCCAGTCGAGCCGAACCATTCGTGCTACAACCATAATATAGCTGCACCATGGCTCTACCACGTATAAATTATTCACTCAAGGATATACGATAACATTTCATGAACTTCGATGGACGACCACTCCTTGGAAAATACTTAGATTATCTAAAAGTCTTAGGTGTGAGACGTCGCATCATAAGCCCTTTATCAGGTTAATGCTACTGTACATGAGCAACACCCTTCGCCAGAAATTTATGATTTTGTTGGCCGTCGCCCATCTGAGTATTTTTATATTCGATTGTAATTTGTTATGCTTAGATGTAAATTATTATAAAGAATAAGTTAGTAAAGAATAAGATCTGTTAAAGAAATGTATAAAAAACGTCCACAAGAATACCTAATTATAGTTTTTTAAAAAAAGAATATTAAATAAAAGTAAAAAAAAAACTACGAATGTAAGTAATCAAAACTGCATTTATTAGTATTACAATCTATCAGATATCTAGATAATAGATGCTAACTCTAGATTTCTCCATATATTTTATTCATCATCCAAAAAGTTCACCTCAAATGCATTCACTAGACTTTCTTCGACTCCCTGGATGCCTAATCATGTCGACACCCCGTTTAGTGGGCAAAGTTTTTTACCTTCCCATTGCATGTCTATTTCTCGTACTATATAACCAGTAAAATACCTATCTACGCTTAGCTTAGTTTGTTAGGCTATTTAATTTAAAAAAAAAAGTATACAAACAAAGATGTCGATGCATAGGCAAGCTGTCGTCTCGTGGATATCGTAACAGGTTATAGAGGAAAACAAACAGGAGATATTTAGCTGCTTTTTTTCTAATAACAACTAAAAAATGCGGTTACTCACTATCTTACCACGCGTGGCACATAGTATAGAACAAAGTCGCTTCCCGCCGTATGTACACTTAGATCTTTTAAACTGGTACGCAATGGATTTTGATGCGGTTTTCATGAATTGACAGAATGGTGGAAGGCTTATACGTATAATTATAATTCTTCTGTCCGTGCGTATGTGACAGTACTTCTAAACGGCTGGACCGATAACGATGAAATTTTATGTGTGTGATTAGGTTAATTCGAGAATGGTTTAGATTATTTTTGGCCGTAGGTGACGCTGCTGCGGAGAAGCCAGGCGGATTGCTAGTAGCAAATATAATAAAAAAATATTATATAAGTCTATGGTGGAGGCCGAGGCCAGTTTTCAGGGTGGAAAAGTTATTTGAGGCTTTAGAGGTATATTTTAGTCTCATACAAACCGCATCTAAAACGCTAGTATATTATATTATATTAATGTATGCAACTGACATCTCCGTTACTTACGCTGAATATGAAAAAAATATTAAATTCAAAATATATCAGAAAGCTTTGGAACTGGAATATATTAAATTACTCACACAATCGAAATTGTGCGGTATATGCGGTATATGACGGTGCGCAATGCTGGTGGCAGTCCGGGTCTCGTTGTTGGACAACCTGAGTGGAATATTGTACTGAACATTTCCCCAGGTGTTCACATTTTGTATGAGCAGATTGTTTAGAACAAGAGGCTTAGATGATTTTTCTTGAGCCATGATAACGAGTATAAATAAAAAAATTAAATCAATAAACCTTAAACAAATATTATTACAAAATGACTTTTTAATGGCAAAAAGTAAAATCAAAACATCATAAGAGCAATCAATGATTTGACGTAATTTTACAAGAAATAGATTATATTTATATCAAGTTTTATCATAGATTATTTGTATAGATTATTAAAAACTTGCAATATTTATGACTACAATAAAAAAAACTATAAAGTCAAATTATCATACAACCCTATTCCCTGTGGTTTGGTGCCAAGAGCGCTGGTTACGATTCCCCTCAGATTGGCTATACTTAGAGTTTCATCGAGAAAAGAACCAGCCTTCTTATTACCAGTCCTAATAACAGTGGCGACATCAAGTCGCGGGAACTGTCCCTTTAGGAACTTCACCGCACCTGGTCCACAGACCTTCACAGATAGTCTTTACAGCAAATGGCACAATAATATACCCATCTCCAAGAGACTCATACTTGCGTCACTTACTGCACTGAATTGCACTGTCTTAGCGTAAAAAAAATCCTATTCACTCTTTCCTTGAAGTCGCCCAGACTCTAACTGGTCGGAAAGACTGACGCCGGCAAATTATTCCTCTTCTTTGCCGTACGCATTAAGGGGTGGGAGGGACGATTGATCGAATCTTTTTGATTGAATCATGAATTTTTAAAAGATTCGATCTTATGGGATCCGATTTCAAGGTGACAAGACAAACCAAATTGTACTTTATTTATATATATTTAGTAGCATAAGTCATGCAATCAATCACACAACAACGTAACAAACAAAATGTCTTCTGTCTCCTTCGTTTACATACAATTCAACCAATAAACAAATCACTATTATAATATACTAGTATTATTAATAGCATGATTATATCCATCACCTGTTCAGCATTCGTCATTCGGTCATCCAAAGTATACAAACGAGCTGCAACCCAAAGATCGAAGCGATCGAATCTTTTTAACCCGATCACCATATGAGTGGGTCATGATCAACCCAGGTCACGATAAATGATCGATCGAACGAGGTCTAGTTCGCATGCGTGGAATAACGACAGCAACCCCCAAGTGAAGACCCACTAGCCATCTGATTATTCGATGTGAAAAGGGGAGATAGGAATTAAAGCATGTAAAATGTAAATATTAAATAAACTCTTCGAAATGCATCCTATAGAGTCTGGCTAAAGGCTGGCTACTCTGCGCGTTTGCTAGAGGCTGACATGATTGGTTTCAATCAAACCAATTTAACAGTAAACCTCTTAGCACGTCTCTTCACTGAGTCCGACTCTGCAAGATTCATTTTGCAACACCAGCCTGCATTTTATATAAGGTACGAAGCTGGCCAGGCGTGAGGTACCGCGACATCCTTGCTGGGTGCTTTGTCTTGAACTCAACGAACCGCTTGTAATTGAGGCGTAGAGAAATCTTAACTCCTAACTTCTGAAGGTTAAAGTAAAAGTTACAGCCTAGATACGTCCCACTGCTAGGCTCAAGACTTAGGAGAGCTTAAGGCGGTCAGTATATTCTAAAGATAAATTCCGGAAAGTAGGAGTTAGACTGAAAGGGCTCCTTTTAGTAATGAAGAGAAACCTTTGGCAGGTGTTGATCCCACAATTTGCATTCGGAGACTGCTTGCAATGAGAAACTCGCACACTCTACCAGCTTTCGGTCTGAATATGATCCCGACTGGCCCAAGCATTCGGCTGGTAAATCACCACAACTGTGCTGCCGTCTAACAGATCATTAATATGCAGCAGAAAGGACTTTGCAGAGAGAACGGACCACTAAGGAACTTAGGACTGTCAAAGGCCTTCGGGACATCAAAGGAAACAGCAAGTGCTTCCTTACTGTTCTCGAGGTCCTCACATAATAAGAGTTAGATTAAATTTTATTAGTTTCTAGAGTAGGTATATAAAAACACAAAACATGCCTAAGTGGTTTGATCTTCGAAATTGTAAATTTTAACTCTCTTTTTAAATTTTCTACTTTTATGAACATCCATAGTTTGGTTTAATCATTTTAATCTAATTCATATAACTGACATTTCTCCCGCCATAAAATTTTTCAAATATATATTACTCCATTCATACGCCTTGGTGGCAGAAAAAGTCATGGATTCGCTCTCATTGTGCTGGCCAATAACATGATATGCTTGATTGCTCCAAAGATTATAGAATGATATTTTTATAGAAGTAGGGATGATAAACAAACATACAGGCAATCTAATAGAAAGATTACTAAGAATCAAAATGCTTATGTGTTGTCCACTCCTAAGGACTAAAATGCCTCGTTACCAGTAAAAAAGCCCCAGTTTCAACGACAACTAAGCCGTTTACGGCTTAAAGATCTCTCGTCAGATCGTTAAGCCAATCCGCAAAAGGTGGTGTTTAGTGGGTAAAAGTCTCCACATAACCACGCAGCCGGCTGCGTGGTATGCTATGAGCATTCACCACCTCCCTCCCCCGTTACCGGAGGGTTGCCCTTATTTGCTTCGGGCGCAAAAAAAGACTCTGCTCTGATTTCAAATACGAAGATAGGCCTAGGCATGTTAGTGTCCGCCGCACGACGACGTCATTGTATATTGATGGATTGTCGGCGAACATTTGATTTCCTCACGATATATTGCTGAACACTTAAAATAGCAATAATTATCAATTTCATTGTTTTTGGTACGGATCGAAACCAGAATGTCCGCGTACAGATAATTTACGGCAAGTGCTTAACCGAGGATCTTCTACCATAATTCTACGGCGGCAAATAAAATATACTATGTACGCACATAATTTTATACAGTAACTATTTTACGCTGGTATTCTATGATGAATTACGAGTACATCTATATATTTATAAGTACCTGGATGACTGAGCTTTGCTCGGTTTTAATTAAAAAATTTTATGTAATTAGTTTAATTAAAATTTTCGTTTTTTTAAAAAATACTAAAAAAAGGGGCTAGAAATATAGACTTTCTCACAAAAGAAGGGAACTTGAAAAAAAAAGGAAAAAAAACTGGGATCGAAGACGAGACCCGAACCAAGGCATTACGATTTCGCGACCGCTCGCTATCCACTTGAGCTATTACGATCATTAACATTATGTCAAAATTTACCTTCTTATATTGTAGCAGATTTTCATTGCCTGAAAACACGGCCAAAATGACATTTTCTAAAAATAAATCCTAGGTAGATCGATTTATTGTCCCCGAAACTCCCTGGACACAAAATTTTATGCAAATCGTTGGAGCCGTTTCGGAGATTCCGATATATATATATATATCATCATCATCATCATTACAGCCCTTCAAAAGTCCACTGCTGAACGTAGGCCTCCCCCAAGCAACGCCACAAAGCACGGTCCTGAGTCACCTGCATCCATCGACTTCCTGCATGTCTTACCAGGTCGTCACTCCATCTAGTGGGGGTCGCCCTACAATACGCCTACCGGTACGAGGCTACCACTCGAGAACCTTTCTTTCCCATCGGTTATCGGTTCTTCGAGCTATATGGCCGGCCCATTGCCACTTCAGCTTACTAATCCGTTGGGCTATATCGGTCACTCTGCTTTTACTGCGGATATCCTCATTTCTGAGTCTATCACGCAGAGAAACTCCGAGCATAGCCCTCTCCATAGCTCGCTGAGCGACCTTGAGCGTCCTCATACGGCCAGCAGTAAAGGACCACGTCTCAGATCCGTAAGTCATCACTGGCAACACGCACTGGTTGTACACTTTAGTTATTCAGAGATCGTTCGAAGAGAGACACTAGTTTGAAGAGAGAGACGAGAAGATGTGTCGTAATTTCCCGAACGCTGCCCAGCCGAGTTGAATCCGTCGATTGACCTCTCGGTCGAAGTTGGACTTACCTAGTCGGACTATTTGTCCCAGGTAAACGTACTCGTCAACAACTTCGAGCATAGTGCTCCCAACAAGTACCGGCATAGTTGAGACATGGACATTAAACATGATCTTTGTTTTGTCCATGTTCATCTCAAGACCTATCCGTTGGGAGACACTATTGAGTCATTGAGCATAGTGCTAAGGTCCTCCAGCGATTCTGCCATAAGGACTATATCGTCGGCAAATCGTAGGTGAGTGATGTACTCGCCATTGATGTTAATACCGTATCCTTTCCAGTCCAGTAGCTTGAAAACGTCTTCCAACGCAGCGGTGAAGAGTTTAGGGGATATAACGTCACCCTGTCTTACACCTCTCTGCAGTTGGATAGGTTTCGAACTCTAGTTCTGTACTCGGATAGCCATCGTAGCGCTACTATACAAACACTTCAGCACTTCGATATACTGACAGTCAACTTGGCTCCGCTGAAGGGACTGTAGAACCGTCCAAATTTCGACGGAATCAAAGGCTTTCTCATAGTCCACATACGCCAGGCAAAGTGGCAGATTGTACTCTTCGGTCTTCTGTACAATCTGCCGCAGGGTATGTATGTGGTCTATGGTACTGAAGCCTTTTCCGAAACCGGCTTGTTCGGGAGGCCGTAAGTCGTCGAGTCTGCGTGCGAGACGATTCGTAATGACTCTCGAAAACAGCACGTAGACGCGGCTCAGAAGGGAAAGCGGGCTGTAGTGCTTCAAGAGAGCGTTGTCGCCTTTCTTAAAGAACAAGACCACCGCACTTCTGGTCCACGCCTCCGGAGTAGTGCCACCATGGAGGATGGAATTGAAGAGCTTCTGAAGGACTTCAAGTACCGGTGTTCCACCCGCTTTCAGAAGCTCTGCTGTAATTCCATCCTTCGCCTGGGCCCTGCCGTTTTTAAGGTGCTGGAGAGCCATTCTAATCTCGCTCAGACTGACGTCCGGGTTATCATCGGAATAGTGTCGGGTAAGACTTGCTCTTGGATCGTTACTCACACTTGCGTGTGGCTCCAACGATGAAGACTTTGGAGCCCTGGTTCCGCTCGATCGCTTCTTTAATACGAGCAGTATTAAAGTTGCGTAAGTCTCGCCGCATGCATTTTGGAGATCTGTCTGTTCAGCTGCCTGTATGCTGTCAAATCTGTTGACGATTGCAGCCTCATCTCCCGTCTAACAGCCATGAGATTAAGAGTGTGATCGGAGAGTATTTTTGTGTTCTTCTGCGGCGGGTCTTGCAGAACTTAGCTCCGACCGCATGGACAGTTTCCACGAGCTTGTCATTCATATCGTCCACTTCATTGCAATCTTCTAGGCACTGAAAGTGGTTACGTAACTCGAGCTGAAAGGTTTCGGGATTCTGGATTAGAGCACGAGGGGGGACGGAGCGTTGACTTCATTAGACAAGACCTCTCCAACTTAACGTTTAGGTTCAGTGTGCCTCTAACCATTCGGTGATCGCTGCCGGTTTTCACCCTTGCGATCACTGAGACATCACTGAACAGTTCGCGTCTGGTCGTAATAATGAAGTCAATCTCATTTTTTGTCGAACCGTCGGGGCTCGACCAGGTTCACTTCCTGTGGGGCCGCTTCAGGAAGAAAGAGTTCATCATAAAGAGTCCCTCTTTCTCCATAAAGTCAGCCAGCTGCTGGCCCCTACGGTTCCGTTGCCTTACTCCAAATTTCCCTAACTTCAGCTCACCACCTTCTCTTGTGCCTAGTTTTGCGTTGAAGTCTCCCATCAACACCGTGTAGTGGGTTTTTGGAGGAATGCATGGATCTAGAAATATCATCATACATTTCCTCCACCTCCTCATCGGAATGTGCCGAGGTTTGTGCGCAGACTTGTATGACCTTCAGCGAATACCGTTTGGTGATTCTGAGTATCAGGTACGCGACCCTCGTCGACACACTCCCAATCTTTACAACGTTGTTGAACGAGAGACTTGTGGACGATAAATCCGACACCTCCTTGGGACAGATGGTCGCCCTCCCGGTGGTAGAACAAGTTGCTGGACTCGAGGATTACCGTGTCCTCCCCCTCTCTTCGGACCTCAGATAATCCAATAATATGCCAGCGCAACTTGTCTACCTCTTCTTCCAGCTCCAGTATCTTCTCGTCAGTCCTCAGGTTGCGTGCATTATACGTTGCCAGGTCGAGTCATCGTAGGTGGCAACCGAACCTCCACCGGAGATTCTTAGCACCGCCTGCCCCGCCGTAACCATGGTCGCCACCGTAGCCAGGAATAACGGGGCCGCCGGAGACTGGGGGCCGTTTGTTTGCGTCGTTGCTCATGGGGGATATTTGCCATAATTGCCACGCTTGGCGAGCGGGTTGGCAACCGCAGTTTTTTATTATGTTATTATTGTTATTAGGAAGATGCTGCTGCCCATCTCCTTTCTGTGTCCGTCTGTCGCCCCTTACGACACCCACAGGAAGATATGGGGTAGTGGATGTTCTCAACGCTTCTTGATATATATATATACAAGAATTGCTCGTTTAAAGGTATATAAAGGTTATATATATTGAAAACCGTCACTACCGTCTCATCGAGTAGTTATTACTTATTGCATAAGAAATCGAAATTGCGTTGCTCGATCACTACAAAATGCCGCTTTTTACAAGTAAGTATGGATCTTTTTATCCATCTCTTAACTTTTCTTCGGAGTAGCCTGCAATAATTCCGAATAGGATTATTAAAACATGGAACTAAATATCTGGGAAATCTATGCAGCAATTAAAGCTATTCACTAAACACTTTCTTTATAAAGTATAAATGTCACTGTAGAACCATTGTGCGTTTTACTAGGAGTTTTCTTCCTCGTACAAATTCTGTGTGAAGTTGTTTACCACCGGCGATTTTTCCGAACCGATACGACTTAGAGACCTTCAAGAGAAGAGCTTACTACTTTTTAAAAGGCCGACAACGCGCTTGCAATCCACTTGGTGTTCCTGGACTGCAGTGGTCACCTACCATCAGGTGAGCTCGTTAGCCCCTCATCTATAAAAAAAGAAATAAAATCATAGACAGAAAAAATTTTTTTCAGCCGTGAGCCATCACGTGACTTGAGGGCCATAGAAATTGCTTAATACTTTGCGTAATGCTGGTAGATATTTGCTAACCAAGATCTCGAACTCGTGAATTAATGCACCAGAACTCTATTGTGGTTAGAAATGAGAAGAACTGAATGAAAAATATTAAATATTACGTTCGCTTTCTCTTTATATAAAAAATATCACAATTTTAAATTTGATTGAATAATATAAATAATCGAGGAAAATTTTCACATAATTATATAATAGATGCTCGGTACAACAACTAACGATCATTTATTTGTTTGATGAAATGATAAGCAAGTGTTACTATATTTTTAGTACCGCCCTAGGTAGAGTAAAAGAGTTTAAATATCTAGGCGTCTATATTACTGAAAATTGTAAAGATGATATGGACATCAAGAGGGAGTCACGATTACGCTCTATAAAGCTCACTGCCAATCTTCTTACGCATGCAGCTTGTGGACAACGTATACAAAGCGCCTATGCAGTGACCTTCGTGTTTTATATAATAATTTTTTTAAGGCCGTGTTGGGGCGCCTACCTTTTGTAGCGCATCAGGAATGTTTGCAGAAGCACGAACAGATGACTTCTTCGCAGTAATGCGTAAAAGAGTGTACTGCCTGTTGTGCAGAATGCGTGGCGGGTGTAACTGTATTACGAACATGTTCACCGAATGATGTGACGGGCATAATATACGTAATCATTAAAACGATTTCTTGAAAAGTGATCATACATATTTTAAGAAACTAACATTAGTATTTAAGGTGTGCAATTACTGATAACTTTTATGGATCTATGAATGAAATAAAAGAATTAGTATTATTATATTTATAAATCGTATAATCTATTATAATAATTAATAACTTGAGAAGTCATTCAAAACACAAAGACATTAATAAATCGATTTCATCATTTTCATAATATTCCGCTTCCGCTTCTTAAATGCGGGATTGGCATTCAAATCAAAAGCAAACGCAGTCCGATGCCATGGCTGCAAATACACTGGCAGCAAATTCTCGTTCTCCGACAACCACTCTATGACGTAGTCAGCGATTGCTTCGACGTATGGAGAAGTTTCGAACGCGGAACGTACTTCTGCTTTCGTATTTTGTATAGAAGAGTGCTAGTTAAAATAATAAGATTAGTTAAATAATGCCAAAGTTACTGCTTGTAAAGCGACTAAAAGCTGATTTTAAACGAGTGAAATGATTTGTCTACTGATTTCGCATTTTATCTCGAATTCACGAATGATTCACGAATGATTCACGAATTCATTACAGACCGTCACAAGTCCACTACTGAACATAAGAGTTTACGCAAAGCTGCTTGGCGGCAGAAATAGAAGTTGACAACTATACAGACAGACTATTATGGGAAAAAATTAAAATGCGCCTAAACTAAATATAGGAAAATATAATACGAATTTTTGCAATTGAATGCAGGTGGCTTAGGACCGTGCTTTGTGACATACCTTGGGGGAGGCCTACGTTCAGCAGTGGACTTATGATGGGCTGTGATGATGATGAATATTAATACGAATTTGGCCTTTTTTGAGAATGTGTTGTATGTAACAACACATTCTTTAGGCCAAATTTATAGAGAAGTTTTAGCCCCGTACCGTGATAAAATAAAATCCAAGAAAAATAGAATAGGACAGAACAAAATATAACAAAACAGAATAGAATAGGATAGGATAGAATAGAATAGGATGGAATGTTATTACATTCTATTCTACTCTATTATATTCTATAGGAAAGGATAGGATTGGATAGGATAGGAGTGGATAATATAGGATACGATACGATACGATAGGATAGAATAAGTTAGAATAGACTAGAGCAGTAGTCGATAAAGCGCAAGATATATTAACATTTATTTAACAAAATTATTTACCGCAACGCTGACTCTTTCACCAATAGAATACAGCGCTTCTTTCAACGTATCTCCATGCCTTTGCCCCTGAAAAACAAAAATTGCACAATATACCTATTATTTGTAACACTTCTATACAAATACTGATACATTATGATGGCAAAACAGAAACCACCGCCTCTTTACGTCCTCACGGTTTCGTAAGCCAACTATAGAAACGCCAGAATATTCTCATGACCATCCATTACAGCCTATAAAAGTCCATTGTGAAACATAGGCCACCATCATAGATGGCTTCATAGGGGGGATTTTGTCATAATTGAAACGCTTGGCAAACGGGTTGGCTACAGCATCTTTTTGTTACTTACAGTTGTTATCAGCAAAACTCTGCTGCCCATCTCCCGTTCCAATTCTCTCTGTCACCTCTTACGACACCACGGGATGATATGGGCTAGTGGATATTCTTACACCGCCACTAGATATCACATACATGGCAATATATCATTTCATATAATGACCGATACCTATTCTCACGGTCGGTTATTACGACATTTACGGGGTGAGATGAGATGATGAAATATAAAGATGATTTTTTTATGGTATCGTCATTGCACATGTCAGTTATTTCAGGCTGAAACTTCCATATCTCGAAAGCAAAATCCTTTTTCAAATGTTAACTGCAACATTTTACAGAAATAGCGTAGCAGACAAGATTGGGCTCTCTCTCCTAAAATGAATAAAAGTCTGCGGGCTAGACTTAGCTTAGGTTTTATAGACTGTTGCACTAGATATGTCTTGTCCCAAAAATGGGATAAACGGATAAGATCAACAAACTTTTTGTTCACCTTTTATCTCAAATGGAATGGATTTAATTCATACCAAAGAAATAATAAAGTCTCTCCAAATACTTTACATGTGTAGTGTTAGCGTAAATATAAGAAATCACTGCCATTTTATGATTACCTTAGGTAAAAGCTCTTTTACCATAGCAAACAATTCGTCACATTGGTCGTGATACAAAAAATACGCCCAGGGCAAACGGAAAAATGCATAAAGATTGTCCAACTTCTTGGCCTGAAATTGTCAAATGCTTCTATTACATATATATTTATTATTTTAGTTTACGATATTTGACTTAGGAAATTCTTGTGTTACTATAAAATAACTCTACCAAAAAATGAACCTTATTAACCTTATTTCAATAAAACATATTTTTGTAACTTTAGATTTAAAGAATTTTTTTCTCATTATAAACAGATTTTTACTGACACTTATCGTATCATATCCAACATACAGTGAATTTCATAAAAAAATTTACGTACCTTACGGTTACTTCTGTTACATTCTGCCCTACTAAAAGAATTATAAACTCAAAAAAAAAGATTTAAAACTTAATATGAAAAATCTCCTTACGGTATATCGCAAGTAAACATTATTTAGTACTACTGATGAGTGACCATAAAGATTTGAAAAATTTTCCAACGATCTCTTGTCAGGAGTTAAACAAGTGATACCATCTACTATTAGATCCCTATTCAAATGAAGCTTGAAATATCCTTCTTTAAATGTTTCTATTACATGACCCTGGAAACAGACAATTATAGAAACAAATAGATTGTATCATTATATTTGTCTTTTATAGAACCTGATAGTAAATGTAATTAAACTTAATATTTACGCATACATGAACTGGTATAAATGTTGTAATAAAGCTACTGAAATTGAAAAATATTTACATTGTAGTGTAAAGATTGAACGTAGTGACAAGGATTCTTCTTCCCAGGTGGTCGTACTTCCAAATATTGTAATCCGCCAGGTAAAACACAATGCATAATTTTAGGCCGTTTGAAATCAGGCATTTTCTTATAATTGTCTTTAAAGTCGCTCCTATTAACAACAAAAGTATAAATTTATAATCCTTTAATGAGAGAACGAAAACGAATTGTAACAGTTATAATGTAATATTAACATTACTTACGTCGATTCCGTAGAAGATTGATGGATATTTCCAAATTTTTTTGAAATTGAAGAAGCAGAGCTTATGCTTGAATCATTATTAATTGTTTCATTATTTTTGATTTTTTCTATCTTACTAACAAATAATGGGTCTAATTGTTGTTTTATTTGATCTCCCAACTGTAAGATTTTGAAATTTTAATTGTCTTCTTAATCCAATGTTCCGGAATGCTTAAAATTCATTAGTTTCTTGTTTAATAAATTCAACAAGAAATCCACTAAAATAATTTTCTCCATACAGAGAAAAATGATAAAAACATACTAGTCGTAATTAATGTCACTTTAAATAAAAGTACCTGGTTGACCGAGCTTAGCTCGGTATTTTTTTTAAATCGTGTGTTTTTGAAATTATATTTAGATACAAATTACACACTGATGAAATATGAATAATATTTTTGATCTTACCGACATAATAGAAAAAACTGAACTGGTTATTTGAATACAAAATCATGAGTGCAATTAGTTTAATTTAAATTTTCGTGTTTTTAACAAAATATTAAAAAATTTCTCGAAATAACAGATTTTCTCAAAAAAGAAGGAAACTTGAAAAGAAAATGAAAAAAGCCGGATTGAAAACAGGACTCGAACCAGGGTACTACGATATTGTTACCTATCCTATTACCTTCTTATTCTAACGATATTGTAGCAGTTTTTCATTGCCTGAAAACACGGATAAAACGTTTTCTAAAAATTAGTCCTAGCTAGATCGATTTATTGCCCCCGTAACCCCCTGGACACTAAATTTTATGAAAATCGTTGCAGCCGTTTCCGAGATTCCGATTATATACAATATGTAACGTAATTAACGCACACTCTCAGACACCCCAATTAGTATATTATGTTATAATCATAATAACATACACTGAATTTTTAGTTAAACATTTTTATGCACTGATTATTTATCAAATTAGTTATACTTAATTCCGGAAGAATGCTGTGGTCACAGTACAAATCCACGAACGCAAAGACTTTAACGTACTTGAATTAAAGTACGTTAAAGTCTTTGCGTTCGTGGATTTGTATTAAAGTTCATTTTTCTTTATTTTTATTGAATGACAGGTTTAGTAATAATACAAATAAAACTGCACTCTTAAAAGTCTAATTGCCCTAAGTTACGGTCCATTTCAGTTTATTTGACTGTACAGATTTAGTGTGACTGTAATTTATGTAGTTTTAATTATTTTTGGGATAAGAAATTACCTATATTAAAAATGATAGGAATCGATTCAGTAAACGATTCTGAACAAACTACTTTTTCAAAGTGCGTTATTATGTTACATGTTGTACACTTGTATATATATACATATATATACAAGAATTGCTCGTTTAAAGGTATAGGATTAATGTACCTATTAATATTATTTTTATTTACGATTTTTAAAGTTCCATTTACTGCGTTCTATTTGCATCTAACTGATTCGATTGGTCAAATTAGCAAATATAAAATCATAATGAAAACAAAACTAGTCTATTGGGGAGGCCTATGTTCTGCAGGGGACTTTTGACGGGCTATAAATTATGATAAAATGATGTACAAAATACCTTTGTTCCAACTTCATATGAGTCGTAGTACATCTGTTGTTTATCTTCAGCGTGGCAGCTACTATTATATCTAGTTGCAGGACCTGCGGCGTATATTGCAGAATCTTTGGTTTTGAACTGATGATCTATTAGAATACCTTCATTGTATGCGATACCACTTTTATTTATGGCTGAAATATTATTAAATTAATTATAATATATAAAAAGAAGTTATGTTATTCATCCCATTATTGTTCACAAAACCTTCGTTCCCGTAAAGTGAAAAGTTAAAAGAAAAACGTTACAGGTAACGTCCGTCCCACTCTTGGGCACAGACCTCCTGAAGTTAAGTAGTAAGTTACAGCAGTTATAGTACAGGCCTCCCCCGCATTTTTGAGAAGGTTTTAGGGCAAGGAAATGTGCGCCACGCTGCCCCAATGAGTGTTGGCGAACTTCACATGTATTCGAAATATTTTTCTTATTTCTCAGACTTGCCGGTTTCCTTACGATATTTTCCTTCACTGCCGAGCACGTGGTAAAACAGCACTTAAATTTGCAATTAAGAATTTCATTGGTGCGCGCGGGGATTGAACCCGAGTTACTCGTGTGCTGTGATATTTACAGCGAGTGTTAACGACCACGACACGACCTCCTATCACTACTAAAACAGGTATTACAAGGAAAGTTGTTTTATACGTGGTAGAGCCATGCTGCAGTTATATTAGTAGTATAGTTGTAGCACGAATGGGTCGGCTCGACCGGGGAAGGACCACGCTCTCACAGAATACCAGCGTGAAATAGTAGCTTAATGCTTCTGTATTTCGTATGGTGAGTGTAGAGAACCGGAGACCTTTTTTACTGGAAACGAGGCATTCCATCTTAGTCCTCACGGGTGACAACGCATCTGCATTTTGATTCGTAATCGGGGATAGATGTAGATGTCTATGGGCCACAGCAACCACTTACCATCAGGTGGACTGTGTGCTCGTTTGTCACCCTATACCTATAAAGAAATTTCAGGCCGCTAAGCGCGCTTGTAGGAGGCCGGCAAGCGCGTTAAGTTTAGCAGCACGCTATATCTCGGAGCACGCTACATTACATGTCGTTCATTGGATAGACCGCATGCTGTATAAGAACATTGTTTCGTAATAAGTCGCATTTCAAATTAAAATAAAATAAAGTGGTAAAGAAAAATTAAAGAATGCTCTTTCATAATTTTCAGGCTTACGACTTTTTATAATCCTAAAAATATTTTTAAGGACTGTACTTTTTAAAACAAAATAAAATTAATCATTTTTTATTAAAATTGATGTTAACGTTATTTAACCTTAATATAAATTATAAATCAAAGGTGTATTTAAAAGTTTATTGATTGTATATACAAAAATCAATTATTTACAAACACTATTATTATACACTTTTGTATCTTTATTTTATTTACATTTAAAAACATTAGTTTGGCAAAAGGACCATAAAAATTTATTCAAAACTTTTACGTTTCTTACCAACAAAAGCAGCTTCGTCCACCCCTTGTATGCCATAGTAGAACAAGGCTGAACAAGGTAATTGCATCAATTTGAAATGTGACAAAAAATTCACACTCGTCACTTGATCATCGTAATCACAGCTCCATGATTTAAAATAAAACGATCTATATACCTTTATTTTTAAATCGTCCAAAATATTCATTACAGTTCGATCCACCTGCAAGTTGTTATATTTTTTTTTAATTTCATGACTACCTCGATGGGTCTCGGGTTGAAATTCCGGGTCGGGTCAAAACCAGTTACTGGGTTTTTTGACAAGAAATTCTCAGCAGCATCCCGGAGTCAGAAAGTTGGCGGTGTTTCACCCCCGTGCCTCAAAGAGTACGTAAAGCCTGCGCTTGATTCCTCTCCGGTCGTGTCGGTTTACCCTCCTATCGGTCTATCGGGGCCTAGCCATCAGGCTAGTCTCCGTGGAGACTGGCCGCCATGACCGAAACTTGTTCTGGATGATATTATATTTTGTTTTCATACAGAGCACTACTTGAAAACGATAGAAATTTTATGAAATGTTAATTTAGCGAATTAAATACAAAACTTTCAAGAACACGCCCTTATTTTCTTAAGAAATTTTATTGATAATATAAACTCCTTTTTATCTATAAAACATTTGAAAAAATAGGAGCGTGTTCGTGAAATTTGGCATAAACACAAAAAATAATTGAGTTTACTGGGTGGTGGCGGCGAAAGGATAAAATATAATCGTAAAAATAAATAATCGGCGGAGCTGTCTTGTTTATGCTACACTTGAAATACCCAAACTAACAACTTCTATACGTGGTAGAGCCATGCTGCAGTTATATTAGAAGTAAAGTTGTAGCACGAGTGGGTCGGCTCGACCGGGGAAAGACCACGCTCTCACAGAATATCAGCGTAAAATAGTAGTTTAATGCTGCTGTTTTTCGTATGGCGAGTGTAGAGAAACGGAGACTCCGTTTACCGGAAACGAGGCATTCCATTTTAATCCTCACGGGTGACAACGCATCTGTATTTTGATTCGTAATTGAGTATAGATGTAGATGTCTATGGGCCACAGCAACCATTTGCCATCAGGTGGACTGTGTGCTCGTTTGTCACCCCATCCTATAAAATAAAAAAAAAACTAGATGTAGCGTCGAAGGTGCGAGACTTCTGATAGTGCTATTACGATTCTGCGACCTGCCTTCCGAGTGTAGCGATAAAAACAAATCCTCCTTACAAATGGCAAATGCTCATGTTCATCAGTGTACCCTTACGGGCTGATGATGAAGAAAAAGTTGGCTTTGCATACTCTACACAAAGTCATAGATTAAAAAGTAATAAAAGGAAAGTTGCAGCCAATATACTTCTCACTGCTGGGCAGTCCTCTTCTCATCAAGGAAATGTCCACAACACTGCCCCATGCATTTTGCAAACCGCACATATCTTCGAAATATTTTTTTAAATTTCTCAATCATAGAATTTCCTCACGATGTTTTCTTTCATCACCAAGCACTTGATTAATCAACACTTAAAATGCAACTCGAGCTACTACGAATCATATCTCTTGGGTGAATATCCAAAAAGTATTTTAATAATTCATTAAAAAAACATTTTGTTCAAAGAAAGTAATAATAATAATGTCCTCCAGACCAAATTTCGGTCACGGCGGCCTGTCTCAATGGAGACTAACCATTGAAGCAGGACAGGATTATAGTGCCCAAGAGTATGCGCAAGCACAGGTACGCTCTCTATTCCCTTACTCTCATAGTCCGATGGAACGGTAAACCGACAAGACCGGAGAGAGATCAGGTGCAGACGCAGCAGAGCAAACGGTTTTACGTGCCTTCCAAGGCACGGGGATGAGACATCACCAACTTCCTGACTTCGGGCAGCTACTGAAAATTTCTTGACGGAAAAACTCAATAATTGATTTCTATCCCGACCCGGGATTCGAACCCAGGGCCTCATGATCAGCAATCACACTACTACAACCACTAGGCCGACGAGGCAGTCATCAAAAATAATTTAATTGTTCTATAAAAATATTTTTTTAAATAAATGCCGTGTAGAGGCGGTTGAGAATATCTACTACCCCATATCTTCCCGTGGGTGTCGTAAGAGGCGATAGAGGGAGACAGGCAGGAGGTGGGCAGCAGCATCTTCCTGATAACAACAGTGATATAATAAAAGACTGCGGTTGCCAACCCGCTCGCCAAGCGTGGCAACTATGGCAAATATCTCCCCACGAATAACGACGCAAACAAACGGCCCCCAGTCACCGGCGGTAACGGCGGGGCAGAGGGTGCTAAGAATCTCCGGTGGAGTTTCAGTTGCCACCTACGACGAATCGACCTGGCAAAATATAACTCACGCGCCCTGAGGACTGACGGGAAGATACTGGAGCTGGAAGAAGAGGTAGACAAGTTGCGCTGGCGTATTATTGGATTATCCGAGGTCCGAAGAGAGGGGGAGGACACGGTAATCCTCGAGTCCACAAGTCTCTCGTCAACAACGTTGTAAAGATTGGGAGTGTGTCGACGAGGGTCGCGTACCTGATACTCAGAATCACCAAACGGTATTCGCTGAATGTCATACAGGTTTACGCACCAACCTCGTCACATCCCGTGGAGGAAATGTATGAGAATATTTCCAGAGCCATGCATTCCTCCAAAACCCACTACACGGTGTTGATGGGAGACTTCAACGCAAAACTAGGCACAAGAGAAAACGGTGAGATGAAGTTAGGGAAATTTGGAGTAGGGCAACGGAACCGAAGGGGCCAGCAGCTAGTCGACTTTATGGAGAAAGAGGGACTCTTTATGATAAACTCTTTCTTCCAGAAGCGGCCCCACAGGGAGTGGACCTGGTCGAGCACCGACGGTTCGACAAAAAATGAGATTGAATTCAATATAACGACCAGACGACAACTGTTCAGTGATGTCTCAGTGATCGCAAGGGTGAAAACTGGCAGCGATCACCAAATGGTTAGAGGCACACTGAACCTCAACGTTAAGTTGGAGAGGTCTCGTCTAATGAAGTCAACGCTCCGTCACCCTCGTGCTCTAATCGAGAATCCCGAAACCATTCAGTTCAAGTTACGAAACCGCTTTCAGTGCCTAGAAGATTGCAATGCAGTGGACGATATAAATGACAAGCTCGTGGAAACTGTCCATGCGGTCGGAGCTAAGTTCTGCAAGACCCGCCGCAGAAGAACACAAAAACTCTCCGATCACACTCTTAATCTCATGGCTGTTAGACGGGAGATGAGGCTGCAATCGTCAATAGATTTGACAGCATACAGGCAACTGAACAGACAGATCTCCAAATGCATGCGGCGAGACTTATGCAACTTTAATACTGCTCGTATTAAAGAAGCGATCGAGCGGAACCAGGGCTCCAAAGGCTTTGCCAGAGATCTGTCTGCCAGAAAGAGCCAACTGTCAAAACTGAAGACTGAATGTGGGGCATCGTTTCCGGTACACCTGAGATTTTGAGTGAGATTGTGAGGTTCTATGGGCAGCTGTACACATCATCGTTGGAGCCATACGCAAGTGTGAGTAACGATCAAAATCTTATCCAAATTCCGATGATATCCCGAACGTCAGTCTGACCAAGATTGGAATGGCTCTCCAGCACCTTAAAAACGGTAGGGCCCCAGGCGAGGATGGAATTACAGCGGAACTTCTGAAAGCGGGTGGAATACCGGTACTTGTCCTTCAGAAGCTCTTCAACCCCGTCCTCCATGGTGGCACTACTCCGGAGGCGTGGAGCAAAAGTGCGGTGGTCTTGTTCTTTAAAAAAGGCGACAACGCTCTCTTGAAGAACTACAGACCGATTTCCCTTCTGAGCCGCGTCTACGTGCTGTTTTCGAGAGTCATTACGAATCGTCTCGCACGCAGACTCGATGACCTCCAGCCTCCCGAACAAGCCGGTTTCCGAAAAGGCTTCAGTACCATAGACCACATACATACCCTGTGGCAGATTGTACAAAAGACCGAAGAGTACAATCTGTCATATAGACTGTCGGTATATCGAAGTGCTGAAGTGTTTGTACAGTAGGGCTACGATAGCTATCCAAGTACAGAACCAGAGTTCGAAACCTATCCAACTGCAGAGAGGTAAGACAGGGTGACGTTATATCCCCGAAACTCTTCCCCGCTGCGTTGGAAGACGTTTTCAAGCTACTGGACTGAAAAGGATACGGTATTAACATCAATGGCGAGTACATCACTCACCTTCGATTTGCCGACGTTATAGTCCTTATGGCAGAATTGCTGGAGGACCCTAGCACTATGCTCAATGCCCTCAATGGTGTCTCCCAACGGCCTATATGTTATCTATCTTAAGATGAACATGGACAAAACAAAGATCTTGTTTAATGTCCATGTCACACCGATGCCGGTAGTTTTTGGGAGCACTATGCTCGAAGTTGTTGACGAGTACGTTTACCAGGGACAAATAGTCCGACTAGGTAAGTTCAATTTCGACCGAGAGGTCAATCGACGGATTCAACTCGGCTGGGCAGCGTTCGGGAAATTACGACACATCTTCTTGTCAGGTATTCCTCAATCTCTGAAAACTAAAGTGTACAATCAGTGCGTTTTGGCAGTGATGACTTACGGATCTGAGACGTGGTCCTTCACTGCTGGTCGTATGAGGACGCTCAAGGTCGCTCAGCGAGCTATGGAGAGGGCTATGCTCGGAGTTTCTCAGCGTGATAGACTCAGAAATAAGGATATCCGTAGTAAAACCAGAGTGATCGACATAGCCCAACGGATTAGTAAGCTGAAGTGGCAATGGGCCGGCCATGTAGCTCGAAGATCCGTTAACCGATGGGGAAGAAAGGTTCTCGAGTGGCAGCCTCGTACCGGTAGGCGTAGTGTAGGGCGACCCCCCACTAGATGGAGTGACGACCTGGTAAGACATGCAGGAAGTCGATGGATACAGGTAGCTCAGGACCGTGCTTTGAGGCATTACTTGGGGCACCCTATGTTCAGCAGTGGACTTGTGAAGGGCTGTAATGATAGTGATGATGATGAAATAAATAATATTTTCGTGGGTGACGTAAAAGGCGACAGAGGAAAACTGTTCAGGAGACCTGCAGCAGAATCTTCACGATAATTATTAAAAAAACTGAGACTACCAACTTAAACAACCCCGGCCAAGCTTGGTAACATCATCTAAAATCATCCATATTATATACTCTTGTCTAATAGAGGTCAGTACCTAGGAGACAATGTAATATGAAGGGGACAGTTGTTCAGCAGCGGACCTTTAATGAAATGAATGAATGAATAGACTTCAACAATGTTAAAGTCTTATTTTAATATCGTTCCATTATTATTATAAAGTATTTTATTTAAACAACTAACATAACTGTTGGCAAACAAAGAAACCCGTGTTTCACTCTGATCTTCCGATGGAAATGGTTCTATGAACACAATATTCTCTCGGGAAACTCCCATTTCCAATAGTGTTGATAAGCAACAGTATGCATGTATTGTTGATCCATATACAAGTACACGATCTATTAAGAAAAAAGATATTGTATAGAAAAGGAGGATAGATCAGCAATAAGATAAAATTGGCAATAGCTTGCATGTTGTATATCAATGTTAAAAGGTTTTCGTGTCTGCAACCCCCGGTAAGGGTTGAAAAAAAATTGTCAAAAGCGTTTTTTCGCAATTACTCTAAAACGGTGTAAATAAGACAAAAAAAAATCTAATAATAAGTGCAGAGCTTAAAATTTTACATACTAAGGATTTTAAGATTTTTCCCTTCGGTCAAAATTAGTCGAGTTAGGGCGGTTTTAAGTTTAAGGGATGACATAATGATGAACATCGGTCAATACCGCAGCCGGTCTTATCGCTGGACGTTAAAGAATTGGTTATATCCATCCATCGGAAGCTATAAAAATTGACTTTTGCCATAGTCGCCTTTAACCGCGACTTATGATTCTATGGGGTGATTTTATGACTATCTGAAATAAGATTTTAAAATAAAATAGTAGATTTAATAAGGCAAAACACGGCAGTGTGTCAAGCATTTTCGTGCTCCCCACGACACAAAAACTATTAGACCTACTTTTTTTGTAATTACATATACTGAATAAAGTCTCCTTAAATTTCTAAAATTTTTTTAGTTAATTTTTAATTTAAAAATTTCTTGAACATGAATGAACTTATTGAACTTCATTAGGGTTATAAGAGTTCGAAAAGTGTCATTTTTATCACTTCTTGATTCACTCATCAAAAACCTAAGCCACTTTTAGGTTACTTAGAAACTTAAAATTTGGCAGCTAGGTAGCTCATTAGGGAATCAAAGGAAAAAATCTGAAAACTAAAAATTATCGATATTCGGTGTCGAAAAACTGCTGACAAAGTAATTGGTTTAGTCCAAGTATAACATGAACCAGTGTTTGAAACTAAAAACCACTGGAAGTCTATTAGTTATTTAGGTTCACTTTTTCAGGAACTAATGTTATCCAACAAAATACATGTAGGGCCGCCATGTATTTTGTTACCACGCCAATACAAAATGGGCAAGTTTTGTACAAACGGCGTTCAGTGTTGTCAATTTCGCTTATAAAAGAGTTACGAGTAAGATCTGAATGAGCACCAAGCTACATAGCAGATATAAAAACGTTTGACATACCTACAGATCTTATGGTTTAAGCAACTGCTGGCGCTTGACACTCATTCAGATCTCAACGTTTTTATCAGTGGAGCCAAGTTAGCAAGAAGAAGTTCATACAGAATTAAAAATTCTAACTTGATTCTCTTCAAAATTAAAACAGTTAGAGTTGCACAATCATTTTTTGCTAGATTTTTTTGCATACTCTCCAGCAATATAATGCAGATTTTAACAAAAATACACATTTGTACTCGTCTTTTGTTACAGGATTATTAAAAATAATTTATAAATATTACGTAAAATTTTATCATTTCATACTTACATGTATCGAAACAAAGCAAGTTATTCTTGACATATTTAAGCGCTTTATTGGCATCAGCAAGGTTGTTGATAATAAATACATTTTCTGGTGTGTACTTGCTAGTAATTTTCTCTCTGGTGCATTTAGGAACATCTAAAGGTGTATATAAAGGAACTTTTTTTGTCCTGAAATATTTTAACTGTTTGATCCACGGTTAGACTTAACCATAAGAGTAGATTATTTTTCACTAACATCCTTCCGGTCTTTCTTTAAATATATTTAGATAAAGAGTTTAGAGAAAGGTATACGGTATTCATTTTCGCATAATTTATAATTTAAGAATTAGTGTGGCAAAGGATGGAGGATGCTATAGCGCATAGACATTTAACATTTACTAAGAATTAAAATGAAGTTGCGTTGTCACCTCTGAGGAGTGACAACGCAACTTCATTTTGATTCTGAGAGAGGTAGTTGGAATGCCTCATTAGCTCTACACTCACCGTACCAAACACACTATGCTACTATTTACATTGATATTCTGTGTGAGCATGGTTTTTAGAAGTTTTTCTGTGAGTTCTGTGGACGCATTCGTGCTGCAGCCATAACATATCTGCAGCGTGGCTCTCCATCATTTTAATCATGCAATTATTACGTGACATTGTGCGTGTGTGTGAACACGTCGAGTTTGGTCCAGGGCTTAAATTACAATTGAATCCGCTATTTGTAAAGAACAGATATATAAAAATCTAATGAGATTATTCAAAGTCGTATTTTTGATAGTGCAATCGACTCATTTCCTAATTCTATTACATAACCGTTCATTATATAACTGAAAATAAAAGTATTTGTAAACTTATAGCATATTTTTCTGAAATTCACTGACAGCTATGCAGTTCTCTTCACCTAAACCTACTGACAAAAGGCAATGTTAAAAGATTTCAAACTGAACACTTACTTAATTTCGTCATCTCGATTCTTAATTTTTTTCATATAGTAAGGATGTTGATACTGTTTTCCAAATAACAAGAAGAGCAGGTCATAAGGAACTTTACCTCCATTCGCCAGCGTTACAAATTTTACCCGTCTGCAATAGAATATCGGACAATAATAATGTTTTTTTTTTTAAATTAAATATCTTTTAAACAAATGTCGTCACAGTGATTTGACTTCTTAATTTTTAGAATACGTTAGAGAAAATCTTTCAAAGGCATTTTAAAAGCTTAATATATATATTTACATTATCGATATTATAATCATAATCAACGTATCATCATAATCTCAGGACCGCGCTTTGCAATATTCCTTTGGCCTATATTTATCAGTGGACTTGTCCATGATAAATTGTAATAATGCTGTTGATAATTTATGTCCTCATCACTATGTTAGTTGCTAATGAGATATGTTTTACTTTTTTCCCAAAATACCATTTATCAGATCACCATGAAACGATAGTAAGTTGTAGGATGCGCCTTCGTTAGGGTTTCTCATGAAAATAATGAATATTTCTTTGTATGTTTGTATTTTTGTTTTCTGTGTAGTCCTATACTATCCTTTATAGATTTGTAACCCATTCAATATATTCTATATTATTTTCAACGAGTTACGATGAAACTTTGTTGAGCTGGTTTTTGATAAAAATGCATTAAAAGGAATTCAATATAAAAGATATTATTATTATTTGACCCATTACCCACAAAATTGGGCAGACAGGTTGGGAAGGACGGTGCCAAAATTCTTGTTCTGCTAAGCTTGCCGGTAGCCAGTATGAAGAGTGTGAGTTCAGTAAAGAATGTGAGACAGATTTTCCGCTACTACTGGGCCAGTCAGGACCTCCAAATTTTTTTTGAAGTGTGACAAACACGCACACAGTCTACCTGATGGTAAGTGGATGCTGTGGCCCATAGACATCTTTTGACATTTATCATCGATTCAGAATCAAAACGCAGATGCGTTGTCACCCCTGAGGATTAAGATGGAATGCCTCGTTTCCAGTAAAAAAGGGTTTTCGGATCTCTACACTCGCTACACGAAACATAGCTGTATTAAGCTGTGTTTCGTATAGCGACATTTTACGCTGGTATTCTGTGAAAGCGTGGTCCTTCCTCGATTTAGCCGACCCATTCGTACTGTAGCACATAATATACAACCATAATATAGCTGCAGCGTGACTCTAGCACGTATAAATTACCGTTATGCACGAACAGTGAAAACATGCGATATGAAAAGGTTCGAATATTTTCATTTATATTACTTCACTTTATATTCAAAGACACATCATCATCATCGTTACAACCCTTCACAAGACCACTATTGATCATTACAAGTCTTGCCAGGTCATCACTACGTCTAGTGACATAGTAAAGTAAAGTTACAGCCTAAATACGTCCCACTGCTGGGCTCAGGCCTCCCCTCATTTCTGAGAGGGTTTTTTTAGGGCAAGGAAGTGTCCGCCGCGCTGCCCAAATGCGTGTTGACGAACTTCACATGTCTTCGAAATATTTTTTTTCTTATTCCTCAGACATGCAGGTTTCCTCACGATGTTTTCCTTCACCGCCGAGCACGTGGTAAATCAGCACTTAAAATTGCAATTAACAATTTCATTGGTGCCGGCGGGGATCGAACCCGGGTTACTCGCGTTCTGTTATATTTACAGCGAGCGTTAACTACTGAGCTACCACGGCTCTTACGTCTAGTGACATATAAACACCTAAAATATATTCCAAGCTGACGTGAATTCATTTCGTTTTTAAACAGCTTTGTCAAATTAGAAACCGGGACTTCCTTTATAAATACAACAAAATTAAAATTCTAAAATACACCACCTGTTAATCTCCGACATGGTTCCCTGTACAATATTTACATAGTAGGTATACGGCACAGTTTTTAGATATTTGTCAGTGTTGGTGCGACATTTAAGGAACATCTTCTCAACGAGCCCCTTAGAGTGTTTGACGTAGGGCAAACCGTTTGGCGATATAAGTGTGACGTTAGTAAATGATAAGTACGTGCACGAGTCGCTGAAAGTTAAAAGGAGCTGAAATGATCTTATGTTATCTGATTAACTAGGTGATATGAGTGTGTTTTCTACTCTTCTTAAAAAGTCCCTCGGGTTACTTAAGGTAAAGTAAAGTTACAGCCTACATATGTCCCACAGCTGGGCACAGGGCTCTCATTTCTGAGAGGGTTTTAGGGCTAGGAAATGTCCTCCGCGCTGCCTCAATGCGAGCTGGTGAACTTCACATTCCATCTAAATATTTTTTCTTATTTCTCCGACATGCATGTTTCCTCACGATGTTTCCCTTTACCACCGAGCACGTAGTAAATTAGCACTAAAAATTGCAAACAATTAGCACAGTAAGGGAGATTAGTCTCTGAGCTACAAAGGCTCACTAGAGTTACCACCGTCTTTTTCTACCTCCAAGCAGCAATGTATCTGTTAGTGTGAAATGATATTTTTTTAATTTTAAACCTACAGCCCCCGCACTAGTAAATTCCCTTGTATCGTGGAGGCATTTTACGTAGGTACAAAAATCGCACAGTTATTGGTAGATCGTACAATTACTTACTTTTGCTGTGCAGTAATCATCACAGTGCCGTAACTGAATTCATAGCAATACCAGCCGTTAACACATACATCAGTTTGTGTTTCTTTGATGTGTATCTACTTATATATGTATATAGATTGTGAGGCAATTCGTTTCTGTCCTCAGGGATTTTGAAGATAAATGATTATTAAAACTCGGAAACTGGCAAAAAAATATATATATATATATATATATATATATATATATATATATATATATATGATATCTCTCATTACGTTCCAATCCGATGATAAGCCGTCTTTATTCATATCGACTTAAAAATGTTTTTTTTTTTTGAGAATAATTCTGTTTTCCGGTTCCAATACTACAAATAAACTTTTTAACTAAGATTACTTAAATTTACGCGGACACTCTACATTGAAAAAACTATTATTTATGTATTTTATCGCGTTTAATTACTACTTTAACTTATTTTTACTATCCCGACGTTTCGGGTGCTTTACAGCACCCATGGTCACGGGGGACTGAGATGCTAGACGTTATAGTTAGTCCGGCTACCTTCGGTTTTTGAATATAAAAAAAATATTACACCCTTGATGACAAAGTTAATTTCAATTGGTAAAGTTGCTAGATTTGACTGTAGGTTATTAAATTTAATCTTAATAGATTAAAATTATGGTATGAAATTATTACTTTTTACTTGTAGAATGGACTGTGAAAAGTTATCGATTAGCTCTCTTTTAAAACTACCTTGCGTTAAAATGTGTGAATAAGTGGATCTACGAGAGCTTTAATTTAACGACTACTGAAATACCGCACTAGACCACGACTAGCGGAGACTTCTCCTTCTCAACATACACTCGGACTATTCGTGTGCTAAAATGCATGATATGACATCAAATCCTTAAGCTATTGTTCATGCCAAATAGTACCTAAAATAAACATTAAGTCAATAGTTCACGTCAGTAGTAGACGTGCAATCGACTTCAGACTTTCTAGGTAACAAGGGAATCATCACAGATGCTATCGAATTGACCTTGTGTGCCGTCTGGTAGTAGAATCAATGTGAATAGTTATTACTTTATAAGAACTACAAATGGTAAATGGTAAATCAGGAGCTAAGCACCCGTCTTAAATATAAAAGGCCGTGCTTTGTGGTGTAGGAAAACATCTTAGGGACACCTACATGTCGGAGAAATACGAGTAAATCATTTCAAAAACATCAAAGTTCATGCCAGTGCATGTACTTTTATAACAGCCCTAACTGCTACATAGGCCTCCTAAAAATTATTCTTAAACTAATATCATCATTAAAATTAAAATTTAATAGTTAATATAGTCAAAGAATCATCTCATTTACTTAAATATTTTAAATACTAAAAATCTCACTTAACAAGTAATGGAAAATCGATCAATTTTCAAGACTGTACTAAAAGCAGCATATTTAAGTTAAATAATACAGTACCTCACAATTTCAACTATAAAATTCAATTTAAATCTATCCAACTTACTTAAATTTTTATAAGAGCTATTTACCCGAATAACAGAGCATTAAGAAAAGCCATTGTAGTTCTAGATGCTCCAACAATTACAATCCTGGTGTCCACGTTAGCTTTAGGCAAGGACGTGTATTTCTTACTTATGAACCAGGTGCTAAACGTTTCTCTATAAAACAAAAGAACAATGAAATTAACACCAAACCAACTAAAATAAACAGAAAATAGTGCTTACTAAGTATTTTGTGGGGGCTGGTAGCAAGCATAAAGTTAATGTAAATACAAACCCATAAGAAATCAGCTTAGATAATTTGGTATTTACGTTTTCGTGACTCAAGATATCTCTCAAGATATCTCAGTTAGAATAGTTTTCTTATGGAATAAGGGTGATGGATGCTAAAGTCCATAGACATCTACATTACTAAAATGTAGGTGCGTTCTCACCCCTGAGGACTAAAATAGAATACTTCGTTACCAGTAAAAAGTGTCTCCATTTTTCTAATCTCAATATACGGAACAAAATCAAAGCAGCACTTAGCTGATACCCGAGTCGGCCCATTCGTGCTACAACCATATTATAGCTGCATGCCGCAGCTCTACCAAGTCATAGTCAGTTTGATACCTCATAAAGTAGCTTAATTTTATTAGAATAGAATAACTCATACTTTTTATATATTATAAATAACTCGTACTTTCTCTACGGATTCGAAAAAACCATGTCCTGGGAAGTACCAGCAATAAATCCCGCGGGAGATTTTTCCATACAACAAAAAATATTACAAAACTCATTTATGAAACAGCTTTGTAGCGATCAACTCAAAATTCAACTTGATGAACCTTGTGTTTTCTATTCAATCGATTATTTTTCAATACAGTTAATGGAATGAAAACTCACAAAATATAATAATTATAACCTTAATTATTTTACTTACAAACTATTTGAAAAAAGACATCTTTTTTGAGGTTGACGTACAGACGTGCAATCGACTTCAGACTTTCTAGGTAACAAGGGTATCATCACAGATGCTATCGAATTGACCTTGTGTGCCGCCTGGTAGTAGAATCAAAGTTAATAGTTATTAGTTTATGAGAACTACAAATGGTAAATCAGGGGCTAAGCGGTCGCATTAGATATAAAACGCCGTGCTTGGTGGTGTAGAAAACATCTGAGGGAAATCTACATGTCGGAGAAATAAATTATTTCAAAAACATAAAAGTTCATGCCAGTGCATGTACTCTTATAACAGGCCTAACTGCTACATAGGCCTCTTAAAAATTAGAGAAGGCCTGTGTCTCGCAGTGAGATAGGCTGTAAGTAACTTTAACTTAAAAGTGTAATAATTAACTTTAGTATTAACTCGAAACTTTACGGCCGCGTGTCGCGGGTCTTGTGCACAAATCTTAAACCTAAAACCAAAATATACGTAAAATCACAACATGATCGGTTTGACGTATACTTCTGAAAGTATACAATTCAACCTGGTTTTCTTTTTAATACAAGGTTGGACACAACAAATAACATGTACCTCCGTGTTACTGTTAGTGGACATCAACTTCAAGCAATAATGGCAGGGTAGGTTGCAACTCCTAACGACTTAGATTGTGAGAAAATCCAACACAAGAAAACCAACAAACATAAACTTCACTTTATGTCTGGCGTAAAATATCCAAACTGGCGATGAGCACGCAAGAAAGGATTTAAAACTCAGTTGATGTGTGTTTTTTATAGAATAAAGGTGACCAACGAGCATGCAGTCCACTTAATGGTAAGTGGATACTGAGGCTCATAGACATTTATCCTCAATTATGAATCAAAATCCAGATGCGTTGTCACCCGTGTGGACTAAGATAGAATGCTTCGTTTCTAGTAAAAGGGTCTCCGGATCTCTATATTCACCATAAGAAACACAGCAGTATTAAGCTACTATTTTACGCTGGTACGGACTCATTCCTGCTACAACCACAATATAGCTGCAGCGTGGCTCTACCACGTAAAAAACGACGTTGTGTACTTACCCATTTATTTCTGTACGCAGTTAACCACAACAGATTGTTACATTCGGATAATCTCATCATTTCTCGAACAAAGAATCTAAAATGTGCTTCAAAGACAGGATAAACAAGGACTGTTTTCAAAGTGCTAAATCCAGCATAAATTCCCTGTGATCTGTAGTGGTATTTATGTATCTGATATGAATCTAGATTGTATTTACTTTGTATGAAATCTTTTTGTTCTGTTGTCCTGGAATAGAATGTATGACGTAATATCATTAGGTATATTTTTATTTTAAAATATTGTTAAGTATAAGTCAGCTCAAATTCTAATTTCGTCCCCACTTGCCCGCGCGTTGTATGCTAAGTACCAAAATGTTTGTAATCACTAATACTGTAAGTAGAAAGGTCGTTAGACACTTATTTCATTAGGCTTATCATATTTATGCCTGTTTCTTAACGCCAAGCCAGTAGCTTCTTATTTTTATTACGGTTATTTCCCATTTTAATTTTACGTCGTCCTGTTGCGTAATGTGTATTCTGATCGTAAGCGACACAACCTCCCCCTTCAAAGGCCGAAGCGAAGTGACAAAACGGGCGGCAGGAATCACGCTTCAAGAGGCCGATAGTTTAGGTAATTTGTTTTTACAGTGAAAACAATGGTATTTAAAAAAAAGTAAATAACATAAGCACTGCTTTATAGTTAGTTCAGTTAGTATGTAAAGTTTCATGATCTTATTTATTGTTTATTTTGGAGGTAACTTTGGATTTTTTTTCTATCGAGAAAATTTTACGAAATCGTGTTTTCGTCTACCATAATCCTTAACATTAATCCTCAACTTTACCATATATTTATTTCAAAATTAATGCTGCAATATTTTCGGCATAACGAAGGATCTTGCTAAGCCATGTGAGATTATATTTCCCCTTAAAATGTAAATTTATTTATATTCATCACCGTATATGAGTGTCATAAGAGTTACCTTCCATAAAATGGTGATACAGCCGTGCTCAGAGAGACGACTGTCGCCGTCGAGGAGTCGATAATAGACTTTTGCTGCAGTTGCCGTCGGTAAAATGGAAGAATCGGATGTTTTAGTTGGCTTCTAAAGGGGAAAAGTTCTCTATTTGCTATAGTTTCTCTATTCTCTATTCGGCTGTATGTTATTTTTTTTTAATATATCTTCGTAAATTGTGATCAGATTTCAAAGATTATTTTTCTATTTTACAAGTTATGCTTGTATATTACAAAATTCGTCCCATATAAATTTGTTAAGAATTTCATCGCTAAGGGAAAATAGAGGATAAAGTTATCAATAGGTCTGTTCAGACGACTTTAAGTTTGTTATTGCCTTGAGTTTGTAGTATTCCTGAGTTCATTTAAAAGTTTCAAAAATTAAACATTATATTTTTTAGTTCTTTGAGGTCGCCTTTTTTGAATTAAAAGTAAACATTTTGGTTCCACTTTCATTATTATTACATATTCGATTTTAGTAAAACTTTTTAGAGGGTTCATCATAGTAATCTATTTATAGATATACATATATAAAAATCAATGGCCGTGCATTAGTCTCGCAAAAATTCGAAAATGGCTTGACCTTTTCCTTTGAGTCCTTATGTGCAAGGCCGAAGCGGGTCTAAGCTAGTTAAGGATAATTCTATTAAACGAAATGCTCAAAAAACTAATCAAATATTTAAGTATACACATTGCTTGCAATGGTATTCATGAAAACTTAAACCAAAACGAAAAGCCTGCTTATAAGTGACGTAATGTTACTTGTAAGTGGCTACTACAGTTCTTGGACACCTGTAGCCAACTTCAAATGAAAAATGGTTCCAGATGCGTTGTCACATTAGAGAACTAACATTGAATGCCTCACAGACTGTAACCAATATTTCACCAGTATTTCTCACTCACAAATATGTTCCGACAGCAGGTCCTTCTCCGGTCAAATTCATCTATGTATCTTTATTCGTTTACGCCAAAAGGTGATGTATGTGAAATATAATGGCAGACATTCCATGAAAAAAAAATTGGAGACAAAAATAGGAATCTATTGTTATCTTCTTATCCTTGCAGAAGCTTTTCTTACATGGTAGAGCCATGCTACAGCTACATTATGGCTGTAGCACGAATGCGTTGGCTCGACCGGGGTAGAACCACGCTCCCACGGAATACGAGCGTAAAATAGCAATTTAATGCCGCTGTTCGTATAGTGAGTGTAGAGAACCGGAGACCCTTTTTACGGGAGGCAACGAGGCATTCCATCTCAGTTATCAGGGGTGATAACGCCTCTGCTCTTTGATTATTAATTGAAGATAAATGTAGATGTCTATGGCCCACAGCATCCATTTACCATCGGGTGGACTGTGTTCTCATTTGTCACCCTTATTCTATAAAAAAAACAATTAATCTAAAATATTAATCTTTACTATTTAATCCTAACTTACTCTAATACTCCAAGACCGACTATAGATGACCCGCTCTTAAGTACAAATATTCGTTCCTCGTTCTTCTTTTTAACTGACTTCTCCACAGTCCACATCGTCTCCTTTGCCTCTAATGTATTCAAGATTTGAGCAATCAATGGTACGTCTATTAATTCTGCTTCGCGAACACGAAGTTTGCTAAAGGATATCAATTTACGATGAGTAGGGATGTTATTTTAAAAAAGATTTCAAATGCAGGACTTCATATAAAACGCTTGTAGGAGATACAACATCCGCAGGCACTTTGGCGGTTTCTAACGCTGAAAGACATAGTCCATAATTTTCACCAAATACATAAAATTTATTAGGCCTTATGGATAATTGATCTGCGGAATTTTGGAATAGGAATTTTTAAAAAGAAAATCTATCAAAGAGGCGTTACTGTCAGTGACAAATATTTAAACTTTTTATGTTCAAGTATACGGTAAAATCTGGTAAATAAGATAAGAATGGAATCCCTATAGCTAGTAGTCTTAGGTCCTTACAAAACAAAGTCCTGACTAAAAGCAATAATATCACCAAAAACCTTCATCGTTTTTAATAGTAAAATAATTGAACCTCTCATGTTATCAATAAATAATAATTTAATGCCATAGATCTCAACAATAGGCTTAAGGGCCTATACTACCTCCAATAGCTTAGTAAGATCCTCCGTTATGCCGAAAATATTGCAGCATTAATTTGAATACCATATATTGAAATAAATATATGGTAAAGTTGAGGATTAATATTAAGTACTATGTTAGACAAAATCACGATTCCGTAAAATTTTCTCGATAGAAAAAAATCCAAAGTTACCTCCAAACTGAACAATAAACCGCTGGTATTGATTAGATCATGAAACTTTGCTTACTAACTGAACTAACTATAAACTATAAGGCAGGGTTTACGTTTTTTATTCTTTTTTAATTACCATTATTTTGACTGTAAAATTACTATCGGCATCCTGAACCTTGTTCCCTGCCGCCCAATCAGTCTCTCTTCGGCTTCCGAACGGTAAAGATGAGTCGCTTACGATCAGAACGCACATTACGCAACAGGACGACGTAAACTTAATATGGAAACCGTAATAAAAATAAGAAACGACTGTGTTGGCGTAATGAAACAGGCATAAATATGATAAACCTGATGAAAAAAGTATCTAAGGACCTATTTACTTACAGTATTAGTGATTACAAATATGTGGGTACATAGCATACGCTGCGCGGGGATGTGGAGGCGAAATTAAAATTTGAGCTGAGGTAATATAGGCCCTTAAGCTAGGTAACAAAAATATTTCATAAATTATTTTATATTGAAAGTACTGAAAGATGAACACTAAGTGTTAAAGATAAATAAAAATAAGATAATATTTATTTTTAATTAATAATGTTACATACTTTATCTTCTTATTTTATTAAAGAAACAAAAACAAAAAGTTTTTGATGAAATTAGGTTTAAATGAAATATTTTTATATAATGTAACTGAAATGAAGTTCCATTTTAAGTCAATATCAGGGTTAAAAAGTAAGATTCCACTTAGCTGGTTACAAATTTATTCTAAAAAAGTTTAACTTACTCAGGCAAAATTTTGTAATTTGTGGTAAAGCTTTGTAGTGTGTATTTAATAAAAAATAAACATGTAGTTACATATTGTATGTAGATTTTTGCATTCAAGACAGGTAGAAGTAGTATAAAAATATATTTAACACGTTGAAATACATCATCAATATGTACCAAAGAAAAGAGGAAGTAATAGAAAGTAACTTGTAAGTAGCATTACATTGGAATTCAGGGGTCAAAAAGTTCAAATCCTGTTCAAATTAAAACCAATGTAGATTTATTCGGTGCCGCGTAACATCGAGAAGAATGGTGAATTTTTATACCCCCGAATTTGTTTCAAAATAGTAAATAATACACTGAAGAGGCATTTATAAAATTATTATTTATTAATAAAGAAATTATTCTTTATCAGCGCGTAAACGTCATTCAGTACGGATGCTAGCTATCTGCGAAAGGCGGGATTACAGTGCACGCCCGTGTCAGCACGCACAAGTGCACAGGTCAAACGGCCTCGCTTTTCGATGCAAATGGGTGAAATACCGCCAACTTCCTGATACTACTGAGAATTTCTTGACAGAAAAACCCGATATCCGATTGAAACCCGAACCGAGACAACCCGTAACTAAACCTGGCAGTCAAACACAGAAGTATAGCTACAAGTAGAGCTTACAAATCGCTCTGTCATTGAAGCATTAACGTTTATTAAAAATAGGTCATAATATTTAGAAACGACTCACCTTAACACAGCGTTTCTATGTGCAATATACAGAGCATATTTACTGCAAATATTGGGCTTAGTTGGAACGAACTGTAAAATAACACTTAATTACAAATAAAATTCAAGTGATACGTTAAATGTTTATTTATTTTTCTGAAGGGAATCTGGCTTGATACAGACACGGTCTAGTATTATATTATAAAATCCTTACTGCTAGATGCTAGCTTCAAGCTCGTTACCTAGTTTTTCTAGGCCGAGTGTACAGCGTTCTGCGAGGCATGCGACGTGGTCGATCCAACCCTCTGTACGACATGTTGGTTCCACTGTGCCGCAATACGTACCGACAGAATGGGTACTCAATTTATGCATTGAAATTAAAACCTTTAAATAGCGTTCGCTGGAGTAAAGATACGGCGTTTATGAGAACCACATGGTCTTCTATGAAAGTATCCAGAGGCATTCCATCTTAGTCCTCAGGGGTGACTACGCATCTGCATTTTGATTCTTAATCGAGGATAGATGTAGATGTCTATGGACCACAGCATCCACTTACCATCAGGTTGACTATGTACTCATTTGTCATCCTTTTTCTATAAAAAAGACCACATGCCTTTGCGACCACTCCTTACTGAGGCCGTATGCTAAGACACATTAACAAACTCACACAAAAATGTTGCAAAAGTGGAAAGCTCTTTTCAGAACAAGGGACACGAATGATACAATAATCGTACACTTTCATAGCTTCGAACGCCGCTTCAAGTAGATCGAATGCTTGTCTGAAAAACAATAACAAGAAAAATTTGTATATACAAGATGTAAGTGTAAACACCGTTGTCACTAAAACCATAGGTTTTAATATAAAAATATTTATGCGAATTTAAAAAAAAACCCTATTTCCTTTCATAAAATTTTAAAAAGTTTCTGTCCGACACCGTCTGTAAATTCATGGATACCCTATGCGCCTGAGTGACGTAATCACTGTAAAGATTACCGCCGGCCCTAGCTAGCAACATTCCAATAAAAACACAATAGGTACACATAACCTGTGATGTAGCTTTTTCCTTCATACTTTCATCCTGACTTAGGACAGGCAAAAATTGAGGAATTAAGGAAAAATTGAGATTTTACTAAAAAAAAATGTTGTTATTTTTATTGAATTTACGTTCTATAAGTGAAACAAAATCACTGGTTTCAAGGATAACAGTGTTTACACTCACAACCTGTATATAGATCATATTAAACCATTAGACCGCGTTGCCTACTATACATAGTACGAGGCTTTTATGAAACGAGTCTTGGGTTGTAATCTATTTGATTCAATCCATATGATATAGAATACTTAGATTGAAGAATGAGAGTAGTATGAAAGAATTACCAAGCTTGATAATGATGGCAAAACCTCCTTATAAGAAAAGAGTTGTATATCCAGCAGTAAGTTTTTATGGGATAATAAAGTAGAACATGACTTAAAAGTTGTCACCGTGGCCAAAAACACAAAAAATAAATGGAAAAGCCTACGCATGCAAGCCTTACAGGGGCCATGACGAGTTATTGCACCGACTAAAACCCCATGGTGTTCCACAATAGTCGCGTTTTCGCACACATCCCCCACTAGCGCTGACCGTCCTATGATGTCCTTCTCGGAAAAGGACTACCCCTCGGCCTTCTCCTTCTCAGGTAATGTGCACCATAACAAAAGGCGCACCTTATGCCACGGCCTCCAACTTCACCTACACCAATGATCCCTTGTGCCCAATAGCCATGGGGTCAGGAAAAACAAGCTTTCGGAAGCACCAGTCTTCCCGACTCCAGCGGTGGATCTATTATATGGCTCTACCGCCAACCAAGATTCGGCCGCAGAGACCAGGAAACGCGAAAACTCCTTTTCTTCCTTGGTACTGCTTCTTGCGGCCTTGATGGGAGTATAGTAATACGAAAACTCCACTTCCCCGCGACTCCTTCTCGGCCGCAGCGGCAGGGAGAAACACCAACACGCATCTAAAGTGTGCTCGTCAAGCCCACTCGAAGAAGCCACCACAGCCGAAAGGCCCCGACCAAATTCAACAAAAATTATTTATCGCTTGAGCGGTTTATATGACGATGACATTAATAATCACGCGAGTAGTATTAAAAACATACGATTAAAAGTCACAATTGACTTTTAATCGTATGGATTTTTCTTGAGGTGTGAGCATTTATGGACATTCAACAGAAATTCTTCAAAATTTTGTTTAAGCCAACACTTATGGTTTTTACAATACTAAAGTTATGGTGTTTAATTTAAACATACCTATGCTATCTTGTGTATTAAGGATGATTCACAACAGCTGTCGAAGGATGAATTCGAACCTTAAACGTGAACTTTGATATCTATCCCATGCATAATGACGAGTGATAAACTAGCATGCAATCAATCTGATTGTAAGTGGATGATGTGGCATAGACAGACATCTACATTTATCTTCAATTAAGAATCAAAAAGCAGATGCGTTGTCACCCCTGAGGCCTAAGTCGGAATGCCTAGTTTCCAGTAAAATGGGTCTCCGGTTCTCTACACTCGCCATACGAAACACAGCAGCGTTAAGCTGCTGTTTTACGCTGGTATTCTGTGAGAGCATGATCCTAACCTGTCAAGCCAACAAATTCGTGCTACAACCATAATATAGCTGCAGCATGGCTTCACCACGTAAGGTACCACGTAACATAAATAATTTACTTAATACGAACATATAGTCAATATCATCACGAAGACCAAATAATTCAATGATAAATGCATTCGGCTCTCCAGAATATTTAACTTTATTTAGTTCATCAACGTGCGTTGATTTCAATAATGACGTCCTTTCTAAAACAAACAGTATTAAAATATAAAAATACTTATGTATTCAAAAATGTTAAATTTAACTTCACATTTACAAACAAAATCGTACTTTTTAATTTGTTTCTAAATTCAATCATTCTTGACCGTCTTTCGGTTTGAGCTAGTTTTGACCTAAAAAGTTCATCATGGAGTCATTATTTACACAGTATAAGCTTACATATACAATAATATCTATACAATTAATAGGATATCAAGATTTTATTTTTTATTGAATAAATAAACGTGTATTGACTTACGAGTACATAAAATCAGTGGACAACACACGAGGGACTGTCAATAATTTAGTATCAATATTAACAATTTCGTAATCAAATGGATCTTCATCAAGCAGATTAGCCACCGATATATTTGACATGATGGACATGGTGGTGGATAATCTGTAATTTTTATCATTGTAGTCATCAGATATTTGCTTTTTAAAATAAGCACGGTCAAAACTACTGTCCATGACAGAATTGTGTCTGAAAATAACTTTGCTCGGAGTTTTAGTCGACCTCGGTTCTGCTATATTTTCGTGAGATGTTCTCTGCAATATCAGACATTTGCTAAATAAATACCAAAAATATTGTATATGGGAAATTCACAATTTTAAAACAGGGCACCTATTTTATTAACTTTTATCTAAAGTACAAAGTTAACTTTTGTCTACAAACATTCTATAAGTATTCTATTCGTCCCCTATAGTTTTTGAGAGGATACTTGGATCAGAAAAATATATCGCCTTGTATGTGGATATACAATCATTATAGATAGTTCAAGAACTAGAACTTTCAAATTACTTCGCTCCTATGAGCAAGAACCAATTTCCTGCGTCAGGCTCTCTTCAGGATGTGAGAGTGAGATAACCGATATCATCGGGGATCCAGGGATGACCCTTAATAATATTTTTTATATGACAAATTCCATGCTAATAGTATGCCGGATTTTACGATTGTTTTCGAGGAGTATGATACAACCGTGAATAATATGTTGGTGTCTGAATTATTGGAAGCAATGTTAGGGGAAGAGCGGGTAATGGGAGTCAGCGGGTAATGGTGATCACTTGCTCATCTGCAAAACTAAACATCTGCGTGTCACGTAAATGATATGTACGCCCTGCTTCGTGCCCCCCACCACGGTTTCGAACGACTCCCACCAGTAACCACCACGCGTTTCGGAGTAATGATTGTATTTTGTTTTGGCGTCTCGCCGACGTAAATTTTCATCGAAAGAAAACAAACGGTAAGTCTCGAATTTCATAATGTGTCTAAATGAGACTTTTATATGTAATTAGTCTGACATCCAAAATAGTGATGTACACCCTTGGTTACCAAAATGTTTTTTTTTATTTCTGACTTTTAACTCATTAGTATAGTTGCGGGCAATGGGAGTCAGGTGTCATCAGTCATTGCTGGCATAGTAAAGTTGTATAATGTACCTGTGGACTTCATTTCCTACATTTTATATACGGCATTTTTGTTTGTTTTTGTAGATGCTGAAAGTACGGGTCAGAATTTCCGAAAAGACTTCCTGGTCTACCAATAGTTTGGATAAAGCTTTGCAGCTAATTGATCAACAAGGTTATTCCATTTCCAATTAATTCCGAACTATTTTCGGAAGAAAACTTTGTTGCAGCTGAAATTCTTCAATCGTAGTCTATTGCAGTTCACGATTATAATGAATATATTTCAGCTGCTGCTACTTATGCCGTACATGATAATATAAGCTCGACGCCTTGCACATAAAAGCAAGCAGATCAATCATTTCCTGACATATTGAAAAAAGAAGACCTAAATATTTTATCCACAGAACAAACCAAAGAAACCTCAAAGAATGTGTCCACTTTACAAGAATTTATTAAGTTGCCAGAGAAAGAAGCATCTATCCTCAACAGGGCCGAAATAAGCAGCACTCTACAGTTTTAACATCAACGCCAATCAAAAAAAAACCTGGTACTTAGATAAAGAAAATTATAACATTATAAAATCACAACAAAAAAACGGCTCACCTGGACTGCTCTGGGTGGGACTAAGTCAAAGATTATGTGTGCGAAATATGTTAAATTTTGTTTGACTCTAATTACCCACATGGTAACTACCATTGCCCTCACCTCAGTGCAATGGGGGTCAAATCCGTTATTTTTTTAACTGTCGTTATTTCCAAAGTTGATTGCCAAAATGATTAAAAATTATCTCAATTGATAGCTAAATAAGTAAATTTTGTTATTTTATAGTTTCGATAAAGATTTTATTGTGAAATAAGCTTTTATTTGAATTCTCACTTAAGTGACTCCCACTTTTACCCTATTGTTTTTAAAACCAGTGAATTGTTTAATTACTATTCCCAATAAAAAAATAACAAGGAAAACACTTTGTAGTTTTTAAATCCATTTTTAATCCCTTGCACATAATAGAAGGCAACTAATGATGGTTAGAGACCGTAATTAGGAAACAATACGTCGCAAGCGCATGTAATTGTAATTAAGAAGAATGGATGAATTTGATTACGTTAATATGGGGATATGGACGTCTTAAAACCCGAAAATTATCTCACAATCACCATTAACCAATTACAGCAATGGATTTATATTACACCAAAACACACACACAAATACCACAGTCATGCAAAACCAGTAGTTTTACATTAAGAGATCTGCATACAATAATACATACGGCTTCCTCTGCCTTTAATTTTAGCTTCGAAATGCGATCAAATGGACCCCACGTACCATAAATTATTGGTTCTCTGTAAATAAAAACATATTTCAGTAGTTACGTTTTGCTCTTTAAAGTCTGAAAAGTTTCATAATTTGGCACACCAAGTACCCGAATGTTTTAAGCAATGCATTGCTTCTTTTATTTTGTTCTCTTTCGATTGCTGTGGCTTTCCTCAGACCGTAGTATGGATTCAACTCATATGTCTTTTGTAAGTTTTCGTAATTGAGTTCAGCATTGAGGCACATGACACCGACGGCACGATCTTGTTGCTGTGTTAAAATATCATCTTGTTGTTATTATAGAATAATTATTTATTTAGATTTTAGCCTTATTATTTTATTGTTTTAACGATTTAATATTTATTACTGACATCCGCGACAATAATTTTGCGATGGGCCTCTGGATGCCGTCCAATTATTTCGCTGATATAATAGTCGCCATACGTTTCTTTTAAACGCGGACATTTTTCGTCCATTATTGCTATTATGTCGTCGTTATCTTCTTCCCTAAAATATATATTTATTTCTACGTCAACCATAATCTTTTATAAATTCTAGATGCAAAATCCACTTTTGTATAAATAATACTTACACCGCACGTCGGACTTTAAGCTTCGGGCAAAAATCTTGTCTCATTGCGGTATAAAGAAAATTACAACTCATTTCCGTTATGTCATTTTCCTCCTCATTACCGCTTCTTTTAGCCAAATATTTGTATACATTACGTTTTTTGAATGTCGAATACCTAACTATACAGTCTAAAATAACATAAAAAGTATGATGAATTAATTTACTATCAAAGAAAGTTTCAGAGCGACCCACAATGGCTGTTAGTGTTATTATTTCTTATTTTAGCACACTATTACTAATACTAACTACTATTACTAATACTAATAGGTACCTAGGTACATGTATTATATATATTTTTGGTATACATATCGACAATCTTCATAAAATGATATCCCCCTAAGTTATGACGAAGGTCTAAATGTTGTTAATAATTTAACTATAACAAATTATATTTAATAATTGATTGATATTACATAATATCAAATTATAAAAAAAAATATCAAATATATACAATATATGTACTAATATAATATCAAGTGAAATTCATCACAAAATTGTAGACAGACAATGCATTGACCGTAAGATAAAGATGCGACTCGAGTAAAATTTTGTGACTCAAGTCACTGGGGTTTATTGATGTATGTATGTAATTCTAGTTGTACACGAGTTGTCCAGTAAATCGACTTTTTACACTCCCTGCATCGAGTAAAAGTTTATCACTCGAGTTGAGAGTAGCGATTACTTCAATCTTGCAAACCACGGTAACATGATAAGTAATCACTAACCACTGCAGCCTATGGACACCTTTAGCTAAAACGGAAAAAGACGGTACGTATTATATGGCCCTTTTACTCTTCAATTATAACCATAATAAATACTCATACTACACGGGTAAAACATCGTACCGGTCCAGACAGACTGTCTGTAAGATGTACGAACACTCAATAAAATGATCACTGGTTATATATGATTGCCTTATTTTATTACAACTCGATGCCTCAGTGGCGTAATGGCTAAGCATTTGGTTGCAACGTTCGGTCCTGCATCGGACAAGTTTATGTATTGTTTACAAAATTTGATTGCAAGTATTTTATTTCTAATTATTTAACTATTAAAATGAATTACCTTCTGGACATCCAAGTGGCACTATAAGAACTATGTTAAGTAAATAAACATCTTCACGGAATACAGAAATCAGTGCATCTTCTAGAAAAAAGTCTGACACTGTATCAATACAACACATAAAATGTATGAACAGCGTGTTCCTCGCCAAATAATATTTTCTAAAAAATAAATATGTGATGTTGATTTAAATAATATCTCCAGACCGATTTTCGATCACGGCGGCCAGTCTCGATGGAGACTCGCCATCTGTGCGGGACATGATTTTAGTGTCCAAGTGTATGCGCAAGGACAGGCGCACTTTTTATTCCCTCACTCTCGTAGTCCGACGGGACCGTAATACAACACAATCCGAGAGAGATCGAGTGCAGGACAAACGGCTTTACGTGCTTTGCGAAGCATGGGGTGAAACACCGCCAACTTTCTGACTCCGGGCTGCTTCTGAGAATTTGTTGACAGAAAAACCCAATGACAGATTTTTGGCCCAACCCGAGATTCAAGCCCGGGACGTCACGGTCAACAATCGCGTTAATGACCACTAGGATAACCTCGACTAGACTCCCCTCTCCTTTTCCACAATCGGGTAACCAGGCGGTCGGCTTGCCTTCACCCTTTATTATCGATATTCCAAGCACTCGAACCGAACGGTTTTCTTCGTCGTTCGTAATGTAAGTAAACAGCAAAAGAGTGGAATAAATTGCCAGCGTCTGTCTTTCTATCCGATTACAATCCGGGTGTCTTCAAGGAAAGAATGAATAGACTTTTGTTCTAGGGATATATTATATACAGGGTTATTTTTCAAAGAGTAGCCAAGTTTGAAACTAAAGTTCAAATATATAAAAAATTATATACCGTTATTGCAGTAAATAAGGCTTCTACTTTTATTTGAAATTATCTCAAATTGAATGTGATTTATAGGCAACAACGTTTTTGCCTACCAATTGACCGTTACGAATGTGTGCAGTAAAATCAATTAAAATAATGCATCACTACGAATTTTGAATTTAAAAGATAAAAAGGACAGAATGTTTGAGATATTTTTTAATTAATTTTTTTCTGCAAATTTGGCCGGTTATTGCAAAATAATCCTGTATATTTTCACCATTTACCACCAGATTAGATAAGCAAGTGTTTTATTACGATGTAGTTAAGCATGGTTTGTAATAAGTTTAAAAAAATAAATGCCGTATGTTTCAGTATGTATAATGGAATCTATCACTCTATATCGTTTTTTAAATATCACAAGAGGTACCTACAGAAAATTGTGGGATAATCTCGTGAGCTTCTAGATGACACAGGCTGGCAACGAGGAGCAGAAATACTATGCGAGAGACTCATAAAGGGCGGTGGACTTTTAAGTCCACGTAATAGTTGTTTCGAAATTGATATCGAAGATTAAGATACATTTCTAAATAAAGCATTAACACAAAAAAACAAGTAAGCCTTACTGATACATATTCCTAATCCAAATTTCCCAATCAACTTCACTGACACCTGCGACATTGGGGTGATCGCCAAGAGCCATAAATCCTATTACGTCCTTATTTTTATCGATCAAACAAATGGATAGGGTACTTAATTCTCTGAAATATTCAATTGGTAAGTTTTGTATAAAGAGATGACGAGAATCAGGTGATGAAATCTGGGATATGACAAAACGTGGTGTTGCCGATACCGATCATCGTATTCGTATGCAAATCATCCCTTGTGAGTCTCAGACCAATAAAGAAGTTAACTGCCTTAGTTACGAGTGTAAAAATAACTATCAAACAAATATAATAAAACCTGTTAATACGTAGTACTGTTATTTATTCTGTGCCTGTTATTGTATTCGAATTTATAATAAAATACCAAATGACAAAAATTTATTTAAAAAAATTGTTGGCTTATCTCAATGAAAATCAATACGATATATGATATTAGGAGTCTGTTTATTAAAAATGAAATATAAATTGCAATTTTTTTAGTGAATCAATTATCGATAGAATAGTTGAAAAAACTTTAGAAAATTCATTATGTAGAAGCTTTCTAGCCTTGTAAATAATCAATCTCATTTATAATATCCCATCTTGGTATGAATAATTTTTACACACGCAAGAACTTATTTTGTTCAGGAAAATCAGTATTAATAAATGCGCCAGCTAGCGAGCATTGTCAAGAATAAGATTGGCCCATACTCCCAGGTGTATATCATTAGTAAGTACTGAGCTGAGCGGAGTATTGATATAAACTTTTAAAAGAGGTAAGTAATTTAAAACGTGTTATTTAGTACGAGAACTCGCAACAATTTTCATTATCTCCGCTCTAATATTTAGACATGATTTCTCAATCTGGGTCTTCTGGCCAATTTGATCGCTGCAAGTTTCCAATACAAGGAGAAGTTTTTAGTTGTACAGTAAGTCATAGTTATTTTTAACCATTATGATAATGCATTACTTCACGGCGGTGTAAATTCTCTACATGTTCGACATTGGATTCCTGCACGAAGATCTATTATAAAAAGGACGTAGTACAGTTGTAGTAAGAAATTTAACTATACAGGAGGCACACAAAGATCGAATGATGTTTACGAGAGAGATGATAATTTTTCATAATTTACGTTAAGGCGAAATTTTAGTTCCTTACATTAAGCTGCCGATGTCAACGTCGCCGAATAATTTTTCGGTGTATTTTCTGTTCAAAATGAACTCTATATCAGTCTTATCACTATCAACTGCTCTTCTAAATCTTCTGCCAGACGGCCCAACATCGAAATTTAAAAATATAGACATTCTTAATAAATATAGAAATGTTTTAATGTCGCAACAAATCGCATAGGCTATGGAACATATTATTTCTATGGATATCTATATTATTATTTCTTATTTCTATGGACACACGACAATGTGTCAGCCAAGATTGGAAAAGAAAAGGGTTATGCAACGACAGGTACACGAACTATTTCGAGCCACTTTCGATCTCCTGCCGTAACTCAAAAATATAAGACATAAACACATGAGATCACAAGTTGGTTTCAAATGGTTCTGAATAGTCTATACTAGCTCCGCTTTATGGCTTTGCATCGACTTTTCAAACACCTGTATATACTTAAATATATGTCATTCTATCTCCGTAGAGGTATTCTACTAGTGTAGGCAAGGAATATCGTGTTGCTGAGGCTGCCCTGTGTTACATTAAGATGGGTAGTGATGCTGTGGGTTTGCATACTTTGGTGTTATCGTGTAATTTGGTCCTTCACCTTACAGCGATGTGTGTATGTGACGGGAACATGTTACAGTTAGTCGAACTTTATATTACTCTATACTTAACGTATGGTTAGCAGAATGGTTTCTTATATTATACAAGGCTTGTTACCGAATAGTTTTCTTTTCTTTAAATAATTTTGAGGATGGATAATTTCTAACATCAGAAGTGGAATAATTTTGTACATCAGGGGCACTGCGCCGCTTAGCCCCAAGGTAGCTACGCCACTGGCACCGCTACCGAAACATAACTAAGTACTTCGTAACGTTAATAATATTTACATACCTAAGGCACAAACAAATTATGGTACACAGAGTATCCTTTTTCATGGAGTTAAAATATATAATAAACTACCCCAAGAAATTAAAATATTAAAGAGTTTAACATCTTTAAAAGTAAACTAAAACGACACATATTATATAAATCCTAAATCTGACACTGTCCATATGCTGACCGCTAATCAGCGTAAACAGTAAAGATAAGAAATACTTTGCTTACTACCCACTTTATTAACTTGTATTCTAAAAGATTGGTAACTTGTTCATCAATACACAAAAACATAATATAAGCATACCTAACCTAGTAAGAAGTTGTATGTCACGAAACTCTTTCCTTTTTGGTCATAATCCATTTATAACTTGAATATTGTAACTTCTCAATGAATAAAATGTATATTTCTTTTGAGAATAAATATTATCTTTAACCAAAGATTATTGCGGTCAAGATTTATAACTCTGCTGCAGTAGCGGTCCCGCCTGCCCAAAACCAGGCCGCCCAACATGGTACCAAGTTATAGAAAACTCTACCCCAGGAGGGTACCCCGACGAAACATCTCCTCTGGTCTCACTCCCCGCGTATCGCTCGAGACTCGGGGCAAACGAAGCAATAAGACAAAGACGCCCCCTGCCACGCTATCCGTGAATTTCTGCAACATCTGGCGACTTTATTTAAACCTTAACGCTGTACACTACCATCTAGAAGTGGCTAAGCCAGCCTTGCTTTTTCTAACCGAGACTCCACAGGTGTCCTCTCCGGCTAGTATTTCGTATCTCTCCTACCTGGGGTACAAATTAGAACACTCATTTGTGCCCCGGGCTGAAGTTTGCATGTACCTCAGAGAGAAGACCTGTTTTCGACGCCTCGACAGTCTTGTAGATACGTACCTGTCCAACTTATGGCTGCGCATAGAGGGCGACGACCATCCCCGCGTCTTGGGGTGCCTCTATAGGTCCCATAACGGCAATGCCGACACAGATCGACTCATCGACCACGTCCAAATTGCTGCAGACTCCGTGCTACATCTGGTCTCATCCGCAAAGATCGTGATACTTGGTGATTTTAACGCCCACCACGCTGAATGGCTTGGTTCCCGTTTAACCGACCATGCGGGTAGATCTGTTATTGAATTTGCTTTGGCATATAGTCTGACACAACTAGTTCCTCGCCCATGCGTACACCAGATTTGGATGATCGTATACTTTCCATGTTGTACCTTCTGCTGACCACTCATCCGGACGGATATTAAGTCTCCGTCGATACTCCTCTTGGCTCCTCGGACCATAGTCTGTTCTGGAGTACGGTACGGGTACTCACGCTTCCCATCGCGGTTGCGTTCTGCATGTCAGCAGATTGGGATGGGATGCGATCTTTTTTGCATCCTACCCGGGGCACATTTGCTTCTCGCCAGATGATTGCAGCGTTGTTGCTGATTCTGACGCTGATGTAGTGCTACAGTGAATGGAACTTTTAATTCCTTTTTCTGTGGTGCCCATCGGAGGCAGAACCCAGCCATGGTTTAGTCGCTCTTGTAAAATAGTATCACGCTATAAGCAGGAGTGCTACCGGACCTAGGCAGAGGCTCGACGTCTCGGAATACAAATACCTGCGTTCCTAAAAATAAATATAATTACAGGTCCCTTCAAAAGTGTCATTGCCTAGGTAAAACAGAGCACATCGGCAGGATTGGCGAAGAAACTAGTTCGATTTCCTTCGGGAACAAGTGCATTTGCTCTCGCCAAGGCTGTCCAAAGAAACTTCTGTCGACCATCTCTCCCATCTCTGCACAGGAAGGACGACTCACTGGGCCATGCCGCAAAGGACAAAGCCGATCTGCTGGTATCTCTTATTGCGTACAACTCGAATCTTGATGACGGGGAGAACACACCGCTGACCATCCCGCAGTGCGAGTGCTCCATGGAGGATGTGCTGTTTACCCAGAGCTCGGTGCGCAGAGCACTCCTCTCCCTAGACGTCGATAAGTCGTCCTCATGGCGTTCCTCCTATTATACTGAAGAAGTCTGCTCTGGAGTTTTTTTAACGCATCTCTCTCGGTACTCCTTCTAACCCTAGGCGTAGTTCTGAACTCATGGAAGACAGCTTTAGTGCACCCTATCTCTAAAAAAGGCGACCACTCAGATCCGTACAACTACAGACAGACCTATCTATCGCTATCACCTCCTTGTTCTCCAAAATAATGGAAACAATTATTAACTGCCAGCTCATGAGGTACCTTGACGATTACCAGCTGATAAGTGACCGTCAGTACGATTTCCGTCGTGGTCGCTGAGCTGGTGATCTTTTGGGTTACCTAACTCATAGATGGACGGAGGCAGTAGAGTCCAAGAGGGAGGCGTTGGCCGTTAGTTTTTGCATAGCAAAGGCCTTTCGATCGGGCTTGGCACCAAGCACTTCTTACGAAGCTACCTTCCTACGGGCTTCCCGAGAAATCGTGCAATTGGATCACCAGTTTTCTTGCAGATCAGAGCATCAAGGTCGTAGTAGACGGTGCATGCTCCGATTACAAGCCCAATAACGCTGGTGTTCCACAAGGCTGCGTGCTATCACCAACGCTGTTTCTTTTGCATTTCAATGATATGTTGCAAACCGGTAACGTTCATCGCTGTGCGGACGATAGCACTTGATATGCTTTATACACCGGCCGTGCCAATATTTCTCGGGAAAACGACGCCGAGAACCGGAACAAACATGTTTCTGAAGTCGGGACTTTGATGAACAAAGTCACGGACTTGGGAGCGACTAAATCTACTCCAGTTAAATCCTCAAAAGATACAAGTTTGCGCGTTTACCGCTAAAATGAGACCCTTTTGTCGTATGTTCTGTTTCAGGGCACTCCTCTTGCCTCAGCCAGTATAGGATTCCTCAGCGTTAACATTATCGAGTGACATGCAATTTCGTGGTCACTCGGAAGAGAAGGCCAAGTTGGCCTCTAAAAAGCTAGGCGTGCTCAACAAAACGGGACAACATTTCATGCCAACTCAACGCCTGCGACGTTACAAGGCGCAGGTTCGGCCGCACATGGAATACTATTCCCATCTCTGGGCTGGGGCTCTCGAGCGACAGCTTCTTCCATTAGATCGCATCTAGCGCAGAGTTGTTCTAATCGTCGGCGACCAAACTCTTTCCGATAGGCTTGACTCACTGTCACTACGAAGAGATGTTGCATCTCTTTGGGTATTTTATCTTTTTTACCACGGGGGAGTGCTCTGAGGAATTGTTCGGAAAAATTCCAGCCGCACAATTTCACCATCGCACATCGTGACAAAACTCGCGATACCATCCATACCATCTGGATGACTGGCGGTATCCATTGTGCGATTTAAAGGAAGTTTTCTTCCTCGCACAACTTCCTTTTGGAAATTGTGCAAGGAAGAAAACACTTTTATTAATGTCCAATGTTTATATTTGAGGAGACAATTCGCCGACCAAGTTTCTAAGACTAATTAACTTCAATCCCGTTAAACGACAACGTGTTGAAAGAATTTTTAGGTTAAACGTAAAAAATAGCACTTTCTTTATCAATCCTGTTGTAAATATGTACGAGATTAAGCGTAGTAAAGTTCATCCAGATACATTCGATAGTAAATTTATTACTTAAAAGAAATTTACGTAGGCATTTCTCTTGATACTTATTTTTTTTTAATCTTGTTTATTTTTGTTACCACTAAGTTTTTACTGCAGTTATATTATTATGATGTGTACACTCTTTTGAATTGTAGTTTATATTAACACCATTATACTTTTAATTTTAGAACTGTATATAAGTACTGTCTGTTTGTACCTTATTTAAAAATAAAAATAAACCAATAAAAAATAACTACGCTAAGGCAGTAGAGAGTACCCAGAGTGACCTCTTCAGGTTAAGGCTAAATGTACCTCTCACCATTTGGTGCTTGTTTTCAACCAAGCGATCGGTGAGATATCGAATAATGGCTGTCTGTAGTACAAAACCGACGTATTTAGGGAATATTCTAACTTTAATTTAATAAAACAATAACTTTGCAGTTTAAAAAATTAAAATAATATATTTACAATACCATAATTTACACGTAACTCGAATTATTAAAAATTACACATTAAATAAAATAAAATTCAAAACCAAATCAAATTAAATAACGTAAGAAACGAAGCTACGCAACACATAACTCGTAACCCATTCAAATACTGATTGGATATTAAGTACCACTCACTGCAGAAACAAAGCTGCCTGTCCGTAAACTATGAAATTAACAAAATGCAGCAAAATATTTACATCACTCACAAAGTTAAAGCGTAAATTTAAAACAAGACTACGACTTTTGTGCGCCAGGAATTAAAAGATAAAATTTACAGGAAAGTTTCCTTTAAATTTTATCTTCAAACCAGCTGACTTTAATTAATTAAAACAATATAAAAGCTGCTACTTTACATCAATTAAAATTCAAAAAATGTCAATGTGGTCAATAATTAAATGTAATCTACATATAGATAGTAATTTAAATTGAATAAAATAAAAATAGCAAAAATTGGAAATTATTACATGAAAAAGTCCTTACTATTAGACTGAGATTCTTAATTACATTTACCTCGGAAAAAGGTGGATTTCTTGAAAAAAAAATCTGACATCCACATTTAAAGCAAATAAAATTTATTTTTATATAAAAACTTTCTATGTGGCGTTAAGTAAGAACAAAAAAATATCTCAACTAAATGTATAACTTTATTTAAAATAGAAATGTGTTACATAACTGAATAATGAAAATCATCCTAATTAATAATTACATATTCTGATTTTCAATCAAAAACATAATCTTAAATAACAAAATGTACACGACAACATTTGCCAATTTATTGTATTGAAAATTAATTCCTGCAAATGAAAATATTGATCGGTAAACAATATATTAAATTGGTCAAGTATGGTCAGGTCAAGTATGTTACAGAAGTGGAGGTAAATTTTTCGCTCGAACTAAATTTGAATGGGACTTTGATCTGTTGATACTGTTTGGTGTTGTTTTTAATGATAATGTGACAGTGTTCTGCCTATCCAAGTTTACTTTAGTAGCACTAAATGGGGCGCGAGGTGTTGCGAAACCATCGTTATTTAATTTTAAGGCAGATCGTGTTAGCCGTTTGGGGGTAACCATCATGTTGTTTTTCGGCGTCATAACGTTGATGTGTTGGATATTCTCCTTTCCAATTTTAGGCGTCATAGGCGCTGGAGTTTTTTTCCTCGGAGTTTTTTTTGGGGTGTCCGAAGGCGAGATTCGTTCTTCAAGGGTATGAAAGACGATCGTGGGTATGTTGTTCTCTTGACTTTTAGTCGCCATGGAGCTTCGGCTTATCTTCTTTTCATTTATACCATCCTGCGTAAGTAGGTAGAGTTAATTTAGGGTAAGCAAAACTTAAAAGTAGGGATGGGCCGAATATTCGTTTTATATTCGGTATCCGGCACCTTTACCGAATATTATTTATATATTTCTGTGTTTTGACTATTTTAGTGAAAAAAAAAGTATTTCGTTCTTATTATTCTTAGTGAAAATTGATAATTATATGATAAAAATGAGTGGCAAGAAATGTACTATTTGGACTTATTTTAGGAAAACTGACGACCAAAGTATAGTGAAATGTACTAATGTAATGTAATGTTTCTTTGTTTGATTCCAAAAACATTTTATCAAGCTTTCTATTTGCTATAATTGTAAATAAATCTACAGTGCCTCAAAAACATAACGCTATACAAGTAGATTTAACCAGTAAATAAAATCTGCTTTCACTTAAATAGTAAAATTATGATAGACATGGCAATACTCAATTCGTACATTTCAATACAGTGGACACTTTGAGTAACACTTTAACGAATGTTCGGTGATTTAGCCGAATATTCGTATTCGGTGAAATCCATATTCGGCCCATCTTTACTTAAGTGTTCAGTGAACGATGATAAATTCGAATTGCAACATTAAATATTTACGGCTTCTGAAATGTAAGTGTACTATAAAATGTATTATCAATATATTAAGGATAACGATGTGGAGAAATAACACCTGTTACTCCCCCTAAGTAAAAAAGTGTAAGTCCCCTAACTACTGATATAATTTTAGTATGTTACATTAACGAGTTTATTATAAGCTGCAATAAATAAAACAGCCAACACCCCATCTTTGATCGGTTCTTCTCTGAGGTCTTGTTATTGCATGGTGTAGATTTTGATTTTTCTTTAAACCTAGATTTAAAAGAAATAAAGGTGATTGAATCAAAAAATTCTCTCATAAAATCCAGCCTAACTTTGCCCAGTAAGAAATGACAAAATATAGGAAATGCAATATGTATATGAGTAAATAGTACAGATTAATAATTATTATAAAATTCGCTTGCTTCATTTCTTGTTAATTTTTTTTAAATAAAAAATCACTTGACCGATTACAATAAAAAATTATTTTGGTTCTAGTTGTGCATCGATCAAAATAAGTACGACGTCAAAATTATTATATTCGTTCTCGAAATATAAAATGCGGAAATAAACGTCTAATTTTACGTGGTTGAGCCATGCTGCAGCTATATAAGTAGTATAATTGTAGCACGACTAGGTCAGCTCAACCGGAATGGGGCAATGCTCTCACAGAATACCGGCATAAAATAGCAGCTCAACACTACTGTGTTTCGTATTGTGAGTGTAGAGACTCGGAGAGCCTTTTTACTGGAAACGAGGCATTCCATCTTAGTCCTCACGGGTGACAACGCATCCGCATTTTAATTCGTAATCGAGAATAGATGACATGGACCACATTAACCACTTAGCATCAATCAGGTGGACTGTACCCTTATCGTATAAAAATAACATACCACACGCATAACCCTCACAAATTTTGAAAAACCAAATAGTATGTAACTCTAGAGACCCTTTGGAAAATTGTTCTCCTTAAAATCACTTTCACTTGCGAAGTTAAACATTTTTAACACTTAGAAACACACTTAAATGAATATCAATAAAACAAGTGAGACTGTTTATTAATGACCACGAGACACGCCAACCCAAACTTTTAAAAACAATGATACTAATCGGCAAAATCTTATAAAAGTCTATACACTTAGCAATGGATTAACCTCTCAGTCCCCTTAAAATTCTCATGCAGTCGCATGCACCCGGCAAATCCCGAGCAGTCGCATGCGACGGCACCCACCCGCAGCACTTAAAACCATTAAAACTTATATTTGGAGTCTACTTTTCTATGAAGAAGTTTGGCATTATAAAATCTATACAAAAATTTCTATATAAAAGTCTAGTTTTAGTTCATTACAAGAAGACTATTGTATTTTGATAACAAAAACAAAACATACCAAGCGAATGTTGGCAGCGTGAAAATCATAATTATTTCAATATATATTACAAAGATAAATTATATTCACACAAAACTTTCATTACAATTTTATAATAAAACACCTAATAAAACACTAGAAAAATCAACACAATAACATTCACGCGAAAATGGCGTACGAAATGAACGTAGATTATAAATAAATATCCATAGCATAACTATTTTTTATTGCACTAGAGGAAAGAAAATTTCATATTGATTCTATAATGCCAAACTTTTTCATAGAAAAGTAGTCTCTAAATATAAGTTTTAATGGTTTAAAGTGCTGTGGGTGTGCGCGGTCGAATTCGACCGCTTAGGGGTTGAAGGGTTAATAACATCTACGCCTCGCTTACTATTCTGCAAGTTTTTAAACTTACTTTGAAATCAGTGTAGTTGGTCAGCAGCGTTGTCTCCATAAGCGGGTCCTTGTTCGACAATTTTTCGTCGTCCTGCGAGCCCGTGGTGGAGCGAGTGCCGTTTGTCGAACGCCGACTGCTACGACGGCGTCCGTTAGACTGGAAGAAATTTTTCTCAAAGTTACATCAATTAATTCATCATTATGCGACAGTAGCACATTGTTTAATTTAATAGCACAGACTTTAAAAAATCGGAAAGTCGTAGGTTCGAATTTTCGGGTTATTCTGTTTATCTGGTGGATAAGAAATCCACTCTAGGGTGGATGGAAAATAGGAAACGTGTGTCCGATCATCTACCCCGGACGGGGTGGATAAATGTCCATTATGATGACCCCGGCATTTTTGAATTTCTAATAATCTGAACATATATTTATATTTTTTTTCTCCCTCACCTGTCTTTAATAGAAACACAATGGCTGTTTGTAAAATCTTTTTTGAATAATGATGATAATATGATGACGTTTGTGTAATAGTACGAATAGGCATGGCTCAAGAACGAAAATTATGTGGCTGTTGGGAATTCATTCATATTACCTCACAGAATTACAAATTCATTACAGTCTTGGCATTAAAATTATTTCAAATGAAGTTAAAGACAAACATCAAAAGTTGGTAAAGTTTTTGGATTGCTTGCAAAAAACGCCCATTTTACTCTACTACATGTGTTGTAACAAAAAAATTTTAAAAACTATCGCAAATGTACATTAAAAGAGACGAACTTATCAAGGATATACAATTATGTCTACTCACTAACGAAATTAGTGTTGGTCATTTCCTGGATATATTGCAGAATTTATAAATTACTTATTTTCATTTAAAACGAGGAAGTTTAGTTTAGTTTAAATGCAATACATAATATGATTTTTGTTTAAGTGTGGTTATTAAAAATTCATCAATAATATGTTAAAATATGAATAAATTTTTTGTTGAAGTGTACTTGGGATGGAAAGGCGAAAGAACAATACAAATGTGAATTTAGATTACCTACCCCATCTAGGATGGATAAACGAACACACGTTTCCGAGTATCATAGGATGGTTTCCTCTAGGATTACTTCTTAGGGTGGATAAGCGGAATGATCCAAATTCTCCACTCGACTAATGTCGTGAATCAAGCCTAGCTACCGTTTAAATTAATACCATTAATTAAAACAACTGGCAAATTAACAATTTTGTTCAACCGACTTCAATATAAAATAGTTCAAGTGAATTAATTAAATACGCATCATTAAGAATAACTCAAAAACCGCTGGTCATATCTTACATACACACAAACATACGAGAAGCACCAGCTTTCAAATAAAAATAAACGTTTTTATTCAATAAAGATTATAAAAAAATACTTATTGAAAGTCACTTTTTTGCATGCCTTAAGCGCAAAGTGCGTAGGTATGTTCTACTAGCGCCTAAAATTCAAGAATCCAACGTTTTATCGCATGAAATCGTATCAAACAATCATATTAAACATAAAAATGATATAAAAAGCACATTGTTAGAACGATAAATTATTGTTGAACATATTATAACTTTTTTAAATGGATTATTTGCTATTTTTATATTAAAAAAGAGGCTTTATTGGCTTATAGTGTCAATTTATCAAGTCCGCATGGCGGGGTAAACACGTAACTTTTGAAAATATCAATTGTTCAACTCAATCTAGTTTTTAATCTTTTTATCTATCATGTGGGAAGCCATAGAATGTAATTAGCTGTTTAATTTTGTTGTGTTTAGATATAATTATTTTAAAAATTCGGCTGAGGAATTCCGAAAATTTCGGTGTCTTGAGGAGCTTTGTAATAATATATTTTACTAAATACAGATGCACTTCGACTCACTCCAGGCTCGGCCGCCGTCGTGAGTGTTTTTATAATTATAGATTTTCATTACAATATATTGTTTCGCTAAAAGCACGTAGGATTTATATATAAATATACTCATATACGTCTTGGACTTTACGGAGTGACCTGAGTGAGCTAAATTAAAATACTGGTTAGATATAGACTAGATGAAAAACTTTTTGAAAACGAAATAAAATTGATGAGAAAAAGAAATTATTAACAAGCAGTGGCGAAGCTAGGGCTCCAAACTAGGGCAAGCCCAATATATGGTTTTGTTGTTTTTAGCAGTTTAATAACAATACACCAATCTTGAGCTGTCTCCACTCTTTAGTTTCATGTTCAGTGCTGACAAGGACGTGTTTAACAAAGCACACAGAAAGCATACTACCGCTAAATAGATTGTATGACATAATATGCAATTGCACACATTCGGTGGTTTTGAAAAGAGCCGTTTGCGTTTGCTTGAGATATTTACAAACAACACAATACATTAACAAAAGAAAAGCATGAACAAAGTACAAACAAACTATGTACAAAGTTAAAAAAGGGACGCCTGGCAGATGTGAAACTTCGAAATTATATTTTGTTTAAGTTATATGCATAAAAGAACAGATTACGACAGGAATTAGATAGTTATAATGAGAAGATAAAGCTTTGCTAATTTTTTACCATAAAATATTGACTATTTATTATAATTATAATTATTCATTTTCAATTCATAATAAACCATACAAAATGATATTTTTAAACTCATATATCACTATAAATTAGCCGATAGCCTATTTGTGCCATCTAGCGTAATCTTTAGGTACCATCGTGAGAATCAACCAATTATGGTTCGATAAAATGACTTTACCTATAGCTTTACCTATATAACATTAAGTAGATGGCGCCATTAAATTTTTATATACTGGAAAGTAGACAGAGAAACCTAACTGGAAATAACTAAAGAGAGTAATATACTTTAAAAACCTCAATCAATACATTCTTCTGTATTCTTTTGATTTATTTAATTAAAATTTGACTTTAACTTTAACGCACAGGCTTGTGGCTCAATAGTAATTGCTATGTAAACATTTCGTAGTTATATTTCTTTATAGAATATTTTGCCATAGGTTAGAAAAAGAGCGATCGTCTACTCGAAAGCCCTGTAAAAAGCCCACGCGAGCGAGGGAGACAACTAATCGCTCTATTAAAACTCACTTTTTCAGATTACCTTTGTATAAACGTATCGCTAAGGCAATACGAGGTCATCGGTCGACATGTGTCGAACAGTGGAGTGCGCGGGAAAATTTAAATAATTTGAAACAGTTTATGAGTTATTTTATTAGTTGATATTATTGATTGATTCAGCTTTAATAAGGCAAGCCCGGCTTTACGGCTTTTATGGAAGCTTCGCCACTGTAACAAGTCAGGTAAAAAGGACTAGTTTTTACGATAATGACTTTTATATATTATTTAAAATGTTACCCTCACACTAGAATTTTCTCCTGTATCATGGAGGCAGTTTACATACATAAATTGCACAAGAAGAAATATCCCGACCCGGAACAATCACTTGTAGGCAATACAAATCTTATTCCGTGCGGGATTCGACGCCGCGGCCCTCAGCGATACTCATTGCTAAGCTTTTAAAGCGACGGAGCCGTTAATGCCGCCACGCCTGATTACAAATACCTAAAAATTAAAGTAATATTAAAGTTAATTTCTGATTATTTTAAAATAATTCTGTTAAGTTTTTTTTTCAATTAACAATAATAAAAAAATTGAATATCAATATTTTCCATTGCTGAATGAAATTTTTTCTACATTTTTTCATGATCCTATGAGTCGTACACTTCTGGATTTTCTAAACATTTTTTATTGACGTTTGACATAAAATGATCGGAAAATTAGAAGTAATAGTAACAAGGTTATTTGTAAATACTTGTGTGTATTTAAAATATTTAAAAAAATTGACGTAGAAAGTTTTAATTTACCACTATATGTTATAATTTTTAGTTGTAACCTCCTTTTTCATTTCCTCTTCGTCGTCTCTTACATCCAAGTATTTATATATGGTAGTGAACTCTCTTACACTAGCCTTACACGATACTCAAAATTACACGAAAGCAGATGTTCCAAAATGGGCCAGGTCCATGTACACCTCTTCAAAAAAAAAGAAAAAACTGTAGAATTCGGGAAAATTTACAGATAATTCATTTAAATGTATTCTGTCGTGGTAAACAATTAATGTTTATCAATTATTTTTATCGACTTTCAACATGGCGTCTCACCGATTTAGTTACTCTGTGTATGGAGTATAGAAGTAAGGAGTACAGACTGTGTATTAAAAAGTGTCCATAGAAAACCGTTAAATAAGGGTGGCGCCACTATAGCTACGTGGTAAATTTTAAAGAACGCACCGAAAAATAGGAGTGGGATAGACGACTTTTTCGAGGTTATATTTACTAAATAAAATTATTTTAGATTTTAGAGCTACTGAGCAGTTTAGCAGCACACTTCAAACCGTCGAAACTGCTAAGTTCATTTCATCCTATTAGCTACTCCAGCGCTGTTGTGGAGAGTTTTTGAACTGTTATTTACTGCTTACAGAAGAGATGACCACTTTTTTAACTATTCTACTATGGGAGTTGGTACTCCTTACTTTTACACTCCATAACTCTGTGCTTATAGACAATGACAGTAAACCATAAAACGACCATTGATCATAGAAAGAGAACTGTCAGTTGTCACTGTACACACACAATAGTGTCAAAAATACTTTAAATAAACATGTCAAACGTCACTAATCAATAAAAATGACAGCTTACCGCCATGACGGGTTTTTGTTGTGTGTTGCAATTTCAAGTGTAATTTCCTGTTCTTTACCAGCAAACAAAGCCATTATAACATAATATTTGGACAGTTGAGAACCGTTTAAAATGTGTTTCCCTATTTTTGAGTGTAGTGTACAAGGACCTGGCCGAGGCTCCATACATTTTGGAATATCTCATTTATTTCATCCTATCTCGATCTCATCATCCGTACGTAAACAGTCCACCTGCTTGACACAAACTTCTCCTTTATTAGAAAAATTTGGCCGTAATCTCTGCTCTTGACCGCTATATTGGTGACGGCGGGTATTAACAGCAGTACTTCGGGACCGATGCTCCAACATCAAGCAAGTGTTCGAATTACCTACAAATAATTTTGCCGGATCTGGATGTTTGACCATATGCAATTTATGTATGTGAAACACCTGTATCGTCGAGACATGAGA